GAGGACATTTACAAATAATATTTTCAGAATTTATTAAACATGGTTTAATAATTAGTAAAAAGAAAATGATTTTATTTAAAGAATTTATAGATTTCTTAGGAGTTAATATAGGAGAAGGTAAAATTAAGTTACAGCCCTATATTGCTAAGAAAGCTTTAGAATTTCCAGACAAACTAGAAGATTTAAAACAAATCCAAAAATTTTTAGGATTAGTAAATTATGTTAGACCATTTATAAAAGATTTGGGAAAAATAGCATGACCCTTATATGCAAAGACATCTCATACAGGACAAAGATTTTTTAATCAAGAAGACATAAAATTAGTTCAACAAATAAAAGAAAAAATAAAAACCTTACCAGAATTGGCTATATCTTTAGATTCAGAATATTTAATTATAGAAACAGATGGAAGTATGACAGGATGGGGAGCTATATTAATATTCAAACCCAATAAATATACTGATAAAAGTACAGAAAGAATTTGTAGATGCAATAGTGGAAATTATAAAGAAAAAGGAAATTTAAGTAGCATAGATGTAGAATTATTAGCTATAAATTATGCATTAGATAGTTTTGAATTATTTATTATATCTAAGAAAGAAATAACTATAAGAACAGACTGTGTAGCAATAGTTTCTTTTGTTAATAAAATGAAAATAGATTCAAAAAGAAGTAGTAGAAGAAGGTGGTTAAACTTTATAGATAGAATTACAAATACAGGAATTAATATAGAATTTGAGCATATTAAAGGTAGTGATAATAAAGCGGCAGACATAATAAGTAGAATAATAATAGATAGAAATTATTAAATTTGTCTAACACAATTTTGTTATACAGATGATAAGACCAAAACCTATAAAACCAGGAATTTCACCTGGGAATTCATTTTCTTTACCACAGACTCCATTTAATCAGAACAGACCAATGTTACAAGATAAGTTAAGGTTTGGAAACCAAGAACTTATAGTTTGTCCCAATAGTAATATTTCCTTTAAAATTTTACCGCATATTTCTTTATCTAGAGAAAAAAAATGTATTTTAGACAATTTATGAATTTCATATAATAAGAATCCAAAAGATCAAAAATATTTTCTTGCATGCATGAATGCATTGTCAGAACATTTTAGTCAGAACAAATAAAGATTTAAATTTTATGTTGTTATTAAAGGTAAAAATCCAGGAATCCTCCATTCTTGGATAGAAGTTTTAGATTGCATTAAAAAATTTTCAAATCCTCTTTACAAAGGTTTTACAAATTTTCAAGAAGCATTAGATGCAGCAAGACAGCATATAGGAATAAATTTTTATTTATCCCCTTCTTTAAAGAACTACTCTGACCCTCCATTAGACTTCTCTCCAAGTAAAGACCAGAATATTTTCTACCAACACTGTGAGTGTATGCGAAGAAATTACAAAGTTATCAATGAAGCCAATCAGAACCTTTCACTAGAAAGAACCCAACTCCAAAAGAAAGTGGCCCAACTAGAAAAAGAGATTTTGGATCTAAAAGTCCATTATCCAATAGGTACTATGGAGCCCAAAAAGTCCATAGCTAGTCCAGCCCAAACGGTAGCTGGTAAAGACTTATAAAATCCGTTGAAGGTTGTGGACTCACCAAAAGACCAACAGACTCAGGGGACTGTTGATTCCTCTACTAAATTAGATAATCAGACTTAGCAGACTGATAAATCTGCTATAGAAAAAGGTAAAGAGATTTGGGATCTTTTAGGACAGCCCAGTGGAAATTTGATTACTTAGTTAAGTACAGTCCACCAGAACATTTTTCACCAGAACACTTTTCAAATAATCCAGAATTTTCACAAGCCCAAGAAATTCAGTCCAGTAAAGGAAAAGACAAAATGGTAGCCCAAGACAGTCAAGACTGTTTATTTCTTCAAGAATCACAAGACCATAATCCAGATACTGTTTCTTTAGAAAAGATTTTTGAAAAAATTGAAGAATTTCAGAAGCAATCCAAAAGAGATGAAGGAACTTCTTCCAGAAAAAGGAAAAAGATTAAGAAGAAGAAAAATGATGAAGGATTAAAAGAACAAATTAGAGAAGCAGTCAATCAAGCATTTGAGACAATCTTTAAAAAGAACCATGGAGAAGAGAAAGAAATTTCAAAATGCCCAGATTAGAAAGAAAAAGATGAAGCCAGTAATTCCAGACTTTCAGATGAAGACGAAGATCCACGGAACGAAGGATACAATGATTCAGATAGTGGAATGTCATTCTCATCAGTGGCACGCCACAATCTTGATATGTGATAAAGATCCTCAATAATGCATAACAAGACAAAACTGAAAGAAGAAAAGAAGAAAAAATAGAAGACCTTTTATCATTATACTGTAGACTTTTAGAAAAAAGTTCTATTATTTTGTATTATTAGAAAAGGTGTCGGGACTTTTTGAAAAAGAAAAGATTCCCATTTGAATTTTTAGACATTTGATAGACTTTTTTGTAAAGTTGGTGGAAATCTTGCAAAAGAAAGATTCCCAACTGTAGACCTTTAGAATTTTTAGCAAAAAGACGTAGAAAATTTTGCCACTTGTTAGACTTTAGAATGACCAGAAGTTTCTCGGTGAAACATGTGCCTTTCCTAAGGATAATTTAGACTTTTTGCTCCCAAAAATTTTTCTATTTAAGGAATGGGTTTCATTTGGTTTAGGCAGAAGTTTACAAGCTGTGTATTCTCTGCTATCCAAAAAACCTCTCTTTCAGAAAAATTCTCAATCCAAAAAATATTGTATAGCTGAAATATTCTTGTGAATATTTAAGGTATTCTTGTATTCTTGTTCTTTTAAGTTTATTTTAGAATTTTAGGGACTTCCCGAAAGGGAAATCCTTAGTTGTAAATCTTCTCAAAGATGAATTTATAAATCCCTGATTTATGCTCTTTTATGTCTATGTTATTACGTTTATGTTAAAGTAAATATTTGTTATGTTTTTCATTTCATCCTATACATATAATAAAAGCATAACTTGATTTCTAGAAGTCATACTGTTTTTAGGTTAATCCTGAGTGACCCAAATAGGTGAAAACTTTTGGCCAGAGTGAGCATTTTGATGTTTTCTAAAGATGCTGGGGAAAGGGAAAAAATTAATCTAAGAATTTTATAAGGGAGTGCCATGGATAACCTTATAAAAAGGAATCAGGTTCAATTTTATATGTCATAGGTGGTGAAAATTTAAATGTGAAAAAAAGGGGGGATTTATACATGATTCTTAAGAAAGATTTATAGAAAACTAAGGAGAGTATTGAGTAGGATCAAAGTTATTAAAAGTTAAAAGTTTAAACAATTAAACAAAACAGCCTATTAAAACAGCATACCCCCCCATTTTGTAACATTTGTTTGTTCTGATTAAATGGAGTCTGTGGTAAAGAAAATGAATTTTCAGGTGGAATTCCTGGTCTTATAGGCCTTGGTCTTGTCATCTGTATAACAAAATTGTGTTAAACAAATTTAATAATTTCTATCTATTATTATTCTACTTAGTATGTCTGCCGCTTTATTATCACTACCTTTAATATGCTCAAATTCTATATTAATTCCTGTATTTGTAATTCTATGAATTATTTGAACATCTTCCTAAAAATCCTATACTAATTAATAAATTATCTTTACTTTCAACTTCTTCATATCCTTTAGTTTGAATTCCTATTTTAATTTTATCTGAAAAATCTTTAATAGTTAATAAAAAGTCTGGATTACAATAAATTATTCCATTATTATTATTCATATCAATTTCTGTACTAGCAATCATACTTTTATCTATATTATTGATTCTTTCATCATATATAGTAACTAAAACTGACAATTTATGAATTTCATATAATAAGAATCCAAAAGATCAAAAATATTTTCTTGCATGCATGAATGCATTGTCAGAACATTTTAGTCAGAAAAAGTAAAGATTTAAATTTTATGTTGTTATTAAAAGTAAAAATCCAGGAACTTTCATTCTTGGATAGAAGTTTTAGACTGCATTAAAAAATTTTCAGATCCTCTTTGAATTCCACCTGGGAATTCATTTGCATCAAGATCTTTACCACAAACTCCATTTAATCAGAACAGACCAATGTTACAAGACAAGTTAAGGTTTGGAAACCAAGAACTTATAGTTTTTCCCAATAGTAATATTTCTTTTAAAATTTTACCGCATATTTCTTTATTTAGAGAAGAAAAATGTATTTTAGACAATTTATGGATTTCATATAATAAGAATCCAAAAAATCAAAAATATTTTCTTGCATATATATATATGTATATATATATTCATATACCTCCAACCTACTCCCTTCCCATATTGACTAGAATGTCAATACAACCATTTTTGAGCATGACCCTACAAAATAAAATAAAAAAACGAATTTACCAAATTTGCCTAAGAAGAAAAGAACATGTCTAAATAATGAAAAGAGAATTAAGGAATAGAACTTGGGTTGCCTCCCAATAAGCGCTTCTTTTACGTCTTTAGCTGGACGTGAATATGGTGTTAAGTTGGTTCATCAAGGGTAATTTCTTCCACATCCCGTTTTCTTCTCCATAGTAATGCTTGAGTTTCCTGAAAGGTAGACCTATCCATGCTTACTAACTCCACTGCACCATAAGAGAACACCTTACGAATTACAAATGGTCTCGACCACCGGGATTTGAGCTTGCCAGGAAAGAGTTTCAAGTGAGAATTGAATAGAAGAACTCGCTCTCCTGTCTTGAAATAGCTCCTTAGGATTCTCTTGTTATGCCACATTTTTGTCCGTTCCTTGTATATCTTTGCATTTTCGTATGCATCATTCTGGAATTCCTCCAACTCATCAAGTTGCAACAAGCGTTGTGGACCGGCCAATTTCATATCTAAATTCAATTTCTTCACATCCCAATAAGCTCGATGCTCCAATTCCATCGGCAGATGACAAGCTTTTCCGAATACCAGACGATAGGGTGACATTCCAATTAGTGTTTTAAAGGTTGTTCGGTATGTCCAAAGAGTGTCATCTAGTTTGAGAGACGGTCCTTTCGATTGGTGATCACTGTCTTTTCCAAAATCTGTTTAATCTCTCTGTTAGACACCTCTGCTTGCTCATTTGACTGTGGATGATAGCCAAGTGCCAACTTGTGCTTGACATTATACTTAACTAGAAGAGAATTGGACAGCTTGTTACAGGAATGTGTACCTTCATCACTTACTATTGCCCTAGGTGTGCCAAAACGAGTAAAGATATTTTTCTGTCGAAACCTCAAAACCACCCTTGCATCATTTGTTGGTGTAGCAATGGCTGCAACCTATTTAGATACATAATCAACTGCTAGGTGAATGTATACTTGACCAAAAGAAGGTGGAAACGGACCCATGAAATCAATACCCCACACATCAAATAATTCCACCTCAAGCATATTAGTTAATGGTAGCTCATGATGCCTTGAAATGTTTCCAGTACGTTGACAGCAGTCACATATCTTCACAAAAGCATAGCAGTCTTTGAACAGATTCGGCCAATAGAAATCGGATTGCAATACCTTTGCAGCAATACGCGTAGGACCGAAATGACCTTCATAAAGTGAGAGGAATGACAATGCTGCAAGATTGATTGTGTTTCTTCCACAGGGACACACCGCCTAATTATTCTATCAGCACATCTTTTGAACAATATTGGATCATCCCACAGATATGACTTGACGTCATGGAGGAATTTCTTCTTTTGATGAAAGGTCAAGTCAGGTGGCAATCTTCCAGGCACTAAGTAATTAACAAAATCAGCATACCATGGGATCTTTGTTGATACAGCTAGCATGATTTCGTCAGGGAATGTTTCTCGAATTTGATTGTCATCCACCACCTTTTCATTCTCTAACCGTGAGGGATGGTCTGCAACAACATTCTCACTGCCTTTCTTATCCCGAATCTCTACATCAAATTCCTGTAGTAGCAATATCCATCGAATTAGGCGTGGCTTGGCATCCTTCTTTTCAAAGAGATAACGGATTACAGCATGGTCTGTGTAAATTATCACTTTGGTGCCAATAAGGTAGGATCTGAATTTGTCACATGCAAACACTACTGCTAGAATTTCCTTCTCTGTTGTGGTGTAATTTAGTTGAGCTCCATTAAGCGTTTTGCTTGCGTAGTGGATTGCACAAAAAATCTTATCACGCCTTTGTCCTAAAATCGCCTCTACTGAGCAGTCACTGGCATCACACATAACCTCAAATGGCTGATTCCAATCTGGTGCTACCATCACTGGAGCAGTAACTAATTTTGCCTTTATGTTTCAAAAGCCCGTAAGCAGTCTTCATCAAAGACGAATGTTGTGTCCTTCTCCAAAAGATTACATAGGGGTTTTGCCACTTTTGAGAAGTCTTTGATAAATCTCTTGTAGAATCCAACGTGCCCTAAGAAACTTTGAATGCCTTTGACATTGGTGGGTGGTGGTAGTTTTGCAATTGTATCAATTTTTGCCCTGTCCACTTCCAATCCCCTCGCTGAAACATGGTGGCCTAGTACAATTCCTTCTTGTACCATGAAGTGGCACTTTTCCCAGTTTAGAACTAAATTCTTTTCCTCACAGTGTTGTAATACCAAGGAGATATTGTGAAGGCAGTTGTCAAAAGAAGTACCAAACACCAAAAAGTCATTCATAAATACCTCCATAATGTCCTCAACCATGTTCGTAAAGATCGCCATCATGCATCTCTGAAAAGTGGCCGGTGCATTGTATAACCCGAATGACATCCGTCTGTAGGCAAAAGTTCCATAGGGACAGGTAAAGGTTGTCTTTTCTTGATCTTCTGGTGCTATAGCAATCTAGTTGTAGCCCGAATGTCCATCAAGAAAACAATAGTAAGAGTAGCCAGCTAATCTGTCCTACATTTGATCGATGAACGGGAGTGAAAAATGATCCTTTCTAGTTGCCTTGTTCAGTTTCCTGTAATCAATGCACACCCTCCAGCCGGTTACTGTTCTAGTTGGAATTAGCTCATTGTTGTCATTTTAACTACTGTCATCCCTCATTTCTTTGGTACTACCTGTACTGGGCTGACCCATTCACTGTCTGAAATGGCGAATATGATCCCTGCCTTCAATAGCTTTAGTACCTTAGATGGAACAACTTCTTTCATTACTGGGTTTAATCTTCTCTGATGTTCAATGGACGGCTTGTAAGAATCTTCCATGAGGATTTTATGCATGCAGACTGTAGGACTTATCCCCTCGATGTCAGCTATCGACCAGCCCAAAGCAGCCTTGTGATCCCTCAACACTTTCAATAATTTGTCCTCTTCGTCCCTGTTGAGTGATGAAGAAATGATCACTGGAAATGCAGAATTGTCCCCTAGAAATGCATAGCGAAGGTGATCTGGTAATTGCTTCAGTTCAATCTTACTGCTTTCGCTGCTTTCTTTATCATCCGATTCCTCTGATTTTTGAATATCTTCAAACTGTGATAGGTTGCTTTCAATTGGTGTAGATTTTAGAGCTAATATGCAATCAACCAGGTCTTTGCTCCCTGTATATTCTCCAACAGAGATCCTCAATATATAGTTTCTTATCGCTCACAGCAAAATCAATGAAGTCAATCCTATGGCATGTGTCAGTGTCGTCCGAGCACTTCATTACTTGATAGATGTTGAACCTCACCTCTTTTTGATTCACTCTCAACGTCTAATGTCCTCCTTGCATATCAATTAATGCTCTTCCAGTTGGGATTTCCTGATCTTCTTCCATATCTAGTACCACAAAATCAGCTGGGAAGATGAATTTGTTGACCTTTACTAACACGTCTTCAATAATACCTTGTGGGTAAGTGAGGGACCTATCAGCTAGTTGTAGAGTCATTGTTGTTGGCTTGACTTCCCCGAGGCCTAACTTCTTGAATATTGATAACGACATTAGGTTGATGCTTGCTCCTAGATCATAGAGGGCCTTTTCAAAGGAAGAGCTTCCAATGGTGCATGAGATAGTGAAGCAGTCCGGATCTTTTCTCTTATGAGGAAGTTTCTTTTGAAAAATAGTGCTGCATTCTTCTGTTAATTTTACTGTTTCATATTCCTCCAATTTTCGCTTCTTTGACATCACTTCTTTCATAAACTTTGTGTAATTTGGCATTTGTTCCAAAGCATCTGTAAAAGGAATATTAATGTGAATTTTCTTGAAAATTTCTAAAAGTTTTGCAAATTGATCATCAAATTTTTTCTTTTGAAAACGCTGTGGAAATGGAAGTGGTGATGTGAGAATTGGTGGGTTGTCAGCGAAGGATATGGAGTAAGGTCTGTGAGCCTTATTTGTTCCTTTGGCCTGCTTTTCTTGCTCTTCTACTACTTGTTCTTTCTCCTTATCAAGTGTGGGGTTGCTATCTTCGGTGGGTCCACTTTCTCCAACTTGCTTGCCACTCCTTAATACAACGGCTTTACAGTGTTCCTTTGGGTTAGCTTCTGTATCACTTGAAAATTTTCCTTGCTGCTAAGACTTCATTGAGGTAGCCAATTGACCAATTTGCACTTCAAGATTTTTCATTGTGGTTCCCATGTTGGACTTTCAATATTATCCAACCGTGATTCATCTTTGTTGAAGCGTGATCTTGTCTCAGAAATGAATATCCCAAGGATGTCTTCCAAGGGTGGTTTCCCTTCAGAATTCTGAGTGTTGAATCCGGGTGGAGGTTGAAGTGTGTTTCTATTGTTGCCATATGACAAGTTCTTGTGATTCCTCAGCCCTGGATGATAGTGATTAGCTTGGTAGCTTCCTCTTTGATTGTAGTTTCTACTGTTGACATATTGGGCCTACTCGTTTGCAACCTCTGTCTCTTGGTGTGATGAAGAAGTGCTCATGACCGAATCTACCTTCTGTTGATTTCCTTGAGTGGTAAGCGTGACTATCTGATTTGTGAGTGATGCAACCTGAGCTGCTAGTGTTGTGACGGGATCCACTTCATAAAGTCCTGCTACTTTCTTTACGCTCAATCTCTCACTTGGCCATTGGTAACTGTTAGTGGCTATGTCATCCAATAAAACATATGCAGCCTCTGCTGTTTTAGCCATTAAAATGTCTCCCGCAGCTGCATCTACTATAGTCCTTGTCTGCCTATTTAGCCCATTATAAAATATTTCAATTTGCACACATTTCTGGAACCCATGTTGAGGACATCTCCTAAGCAAGTCTTTAAATCTTTCCCAGGTTTCATAGAATGGCTCGAAGTCGAGTTGTTTGAATTGACTAATTTCACCGCGAAGTTGAGCTGATTTAGAATGTAGAAAGTACTTAGTGAGGAATTTCTGAGCCAAATCATCCCAAGTTGTAATTGAGTCATACGGTAGTGACTGAAACCAAGCCTTTGCTTTATCCCTTAAAGAGAAAGAGAATAGACGAAGTCTAATTGCATCTTCAGTAACCCCATTCATCTATACCGTGATACAAATTTCCAAAAAGGATCCAATATGAGCATTTGGATCTTCTGTTGCAGCACCCCCAAACTGATTTTGCTACACCATTTGTATCAACCGTGGCTTCAATTCGAAATTGTTTGCAGCAATTGCTGGGCCTGCGATACCAGAATAGTTGTCATTGACAACCGGCCTTATGTAGTCCCGAATAGCCCTTTGTTGGTTATCCTCATTGGCTGCTCTAGCATCCTGTTCTGCTATTGCTTATCGTTCGTTTCTTTGTATGCCTCTGAGAATGTGAAATGTGCGTTCTAGTTCAGGATCAACATGTAGTAAGTCTAGATTTCTCGCCCTTCATATAAACAGCTGAAAATAACCACAAAGAAGCTCTTAAAGATAGACACAAAAAGAATAAAATAAAAAAAATAAAAATTTCGATAGAAATAAAAATCTATAGTAAAATGAACGACGATTGGTAATAATATCAATTGAAATCAAATGAATCAATCTCTGGCAACGGCGCCAAAAACTTGCCACACATTTTATGCAACGTGGTTCAACCACAAGCGCACGGTGTCAAGTTTTGTAGTATATTAAAGAATTGAAAAGTGTCGAACCCACAGGGATTGATATTCGACTTCTACTGAGTACTATAATTATGTCCGCGTTTATTTTATCTAGACAATCAGATGTTAAATTGATGTTTGAATGTTAAACTAATGTTATGAATTAAATAACACAAGGAACGTGAGGCAATTTTTAAAGATTAGATTAGAATTACGTGATGTCTAGGGAGTGATTTCACCATATTATCGACATAATTCTCAACCCCTATAGATATTTCTATCAACTATTTCCCGAATTCATATGCAAGAATCCTAAATTAATCCTATTTCTCTCTCTCAAGCGTCAAATAGAACCTATCTCTATATTTTAATCCCAATATCTCTATTTTGAATTAAATATATAAAGATTATCAAGCACTTGGTTCTTGTTTTACCCTCAAAGATTCGCACTTTCTCTCGAAACCTACGAATCTAGGTTATATTGTTCTTAGATCACACCTAAATTCCCTCTCTCGAGCGTCAAATTTAGAGCATCAATTCATTCAATTGGTGATCAGGCAATTGAAAGCATTACGCAAGAACAATACAAATCAATTCTAGAAAAATAAACGGGAATACTATAAAAAAATTAAATTATGTCTCAAATAGGTTACATCAAACCTTATATTTAAAAGTTTAGTTCATGATGAAGAAGAAAAACGCAATGAAATACAAACTAGAGTGCATGGAGAAGAGAAAGATAGGAGAAAACTCAGTTTGCCTCTTGATTTCTCAGTTTTCTGCTTGATTTCTTCTCCAAGATCGGGTCAATCTTCTCTCAATTGGTGCTTCTTTTCCTCTTGTCTCTTCAGCCATCTAACCCCTCTCTCTTGGTCTTCATCTTGGTATTTATATTTTCTAGGAGTTCTCAATGGTTAAGGTATGATTTTTGGGCCGAGAAATAATTAAAATTTCGGGTTTTATGCGTTTTGGGATTCGAGGCCACGGCGCCCAAGTCTGGCACCGTGGCGCCAGTGGTACTGCTCTGTTTCTTCTTCATTGGGCGCCATGGCACCCAGGTCTGGCGCCGGGTCTACTGCTGGAACTTGACTTCTTTTGGGCGCTATGGCGCCCATTTTCGGTGCCGTGGCGCCAGTGCTACTGCCTTGCAACACTTCACTTTATTTTCCAAGCATATTTTCCATTCTGATCTTCTTCAATACTTGCTTATTCATGCTCCATTTCAATGATCATCATTTTTGCTCATCGCAGGCTCCCAATTGTGGTATTTTCTCGGGAGTTGTCCAAACTGCAAAACAACATGAACACACATCAAAACGTTCAAAAGTGCCCAAGAACAAATCAAAAAACGTGATTTAGAAGCTTTAGTTTAATGAGTGAATTACACTCATCAGTGGGTTCAAATCATAAGGAGTGGTGGATTGACACCTGTGCTACAAGGCATGTGTGCTCTGATAAAAAGCTGTTTGCAACGTTCGAAGCAATTGAGAACGGGGAGAAGCTGTTCATGGGAAATTCAGCAACCTCTGAAATCAATGGTCAAGGAAAGGTGGTTCTAAAGATGACCTCGGGAAAGGAGCCGACTCTCAACAATGTGCTATATGTACCGAAAATTCGTAAGAATTTAGTGTCCGGGTCGCTTTTGAATAAGCATGGTTTTCACATTGTATTTGAGTCAGACAAATTCATTCTATCAAAAAGTGGAATGTTTGTCGGAAAAGGTTATGCTTCCGACGGTATGTTTAAGCTGAATGTAATGGTTGTGAAACCAAAAATGAATAAAGGAAATTCTTCTACTTATTTGCTTGAGTCTTCCAATTTGTGGCATGGTAGATTATGACATGTTAACTATGATACTTTACGTAGACTAGTTAACTCAAATTGCATACCCAAGTTCCATAATAATTCCGAACATAAGTGTGAAACTTGTGTTGAGACAAAATTGATAAGGTCATCCTTTAAGTCAGTTGACTTAATTTAATTCACGGTGATGTTTGTGGCTTAAAACTTGTACAAACAAGAGATGGCAACAAGTATTTTATTACTTTTATCGACGATGACACAAAATACTGTTATATGTAACTGCTTAAAAGCAATGATGAAGTTATAGAGAAATCTGTTCTCTATAAGAATGAAGTTAAAACTCAACTTAATAAGAAAATTAAGGTACTACGGAGTGATCGAGGTGGTGAGTATGGAGCACCGTTTGTCGATTTCTGTGCACAACACGAAATCATACATAAAACCACCGCACCTTATTCATCGCAACAAAACGGTGTAGCTGAACGAAAAAATCGTACCTTAAAAGAAATTATGAATGCTATGCTAGTAAGTTTTGGGTTACCTCAGAACATGTGGGGGGAAGCTGTGTTATCAGTAAATTACCTTTTAAATAAGGTGCTCCGAAAGAAATTAGAAAAGACACCTTATGAGTTATGGAAAGGAAGAAAGTCTACTTATAAACACTTGCGAATGTGGGGATGTCTTGCAAAAGTAGTTGTTCCAACACCAAAGAAGGTTAGGATATGCCCGAATACTATAGGCTGCGTCTTCATTGGCTATGCATGTAATAGCAATGCTTATCGGTTTCCTGTGTATGATTCAAAAATTCCAGACATACACAAAAACACGATAATGGAATCGAGGAATGCTTCTTTCTTTGAAGAAGTATTTCCATACAAGTCCAAAGAGGAAGCCAGCTCTCTAAACGAACATATGAGACAATGACTGAAAATAGTTAAGACGAAGAATTAAAAGAGGAAACTGAGGTTAGACGCAGCAAACGGGAAAGGACAGAAAAGTCTTATGGTCCTGATTTTCTGACCTATATCCTACAAAGCGAATCTCAAAGTTATCAAGAAGCTGTGAATTCCTCAGAAGGACTTCAATGGTGAAATAGATTCCATTAAAGGTAAAATAGATTCCATAGTGCAAAATCATACATGGGAGTTAGTGGATCTTCCTCCTGGATGCAAACCACTAGGCTACAAATGGATTTTCAAAAGGAAAATGAAAGCAGATGGAACCATCGAAAAGTACAAGGCCAGATTAGTAATAAAAGGTTACAAACAAAGGGAAGGCCTTGATTAGTTTGATACGTATTCTCCAGTGACGAGAATAACATCTATTAGGGTGATACTTGCGATTACTGCTTTGCGAAATCTAGAAGTATATCAAATGGATGTTAAAACTGCTTTTCTAAATGGAGATTTAGAAGAAGAAATTTATATGGAACAACTCGAGAGGTTTTCGTCACCAGGACAGGAAAAGAAAGTTTGTAAACTGGAGAAATTACTATATGGCTTGAAACAAGCACCCAAACAATGACATGAAAAATTTGACAATGTCATAATAGATAGTGGATTTAAAATTAATAAATGTGACAAATGTGTTTACGTCAAAGACACTAAAGATGACTATGTCATTTTATATCTTTACGTTGACGACATGTTTATTGTAGGTAGTAACAATAAGATGATTGAATCCACTAAAAATATATTAAATTTGAGATTTGATATGAAAGACATGGGTTTAGCTGATGTTATACTTGGAATCAAAATCTCAAGAATATCAGATGGGCTTGTTCTAAACCAGTCACATTATGTGGACAAAATTTTGAAAAAGTTCAGTAAGGATGATACTGACTTGGCCAGAACACCGATAGATACAAGTTAACATCTATCCAAGAATAAGGGTGAATGTGTCTTTCAAGTAGAATACTCGAGGGTTATTAGAAGTCTAATATACTTAATGAGTTGTACAAGACCAGATATAGCCTACACAATCAGTAAATTGAGTAGATATACGAGTAATCCAGGAAATGATCACTGGAAAGGTATAGTAAGAGTACTGAGGTATTTAAGATATACTCGTGACTATGAAATACACTACACCAGACATCCAGCGGTCATTGAAGGATACAGTAATGCTAATCGGATATCTAATATAAAAGACTCAAAGTCCACCAGTGGATATGTGTTCACTTTGGGAGGTGCTATCATCTCATGGAAATCCTCTAAGCAAACGGTTATAGCCAGATCTACAATGAAATCTGAGTTCATAGCCCTAGATAAATGTGGTGAAGAGGTCGAATGGTTGTACAACTTTTTAGAGGATATTCCAAGATGGTTTAAACCTGTGCCTGCAATTTGCATATATTGTGACAGTCAATCTGCAATAGAAAGTGCATAGAGTAACATGTACAATGGTAAGTCTAGACATATACGTCGTAGACACAATACCATTAGATAACTACTCTCAACTGGAGTTATCAAAATTGACTATGTTAGGTCAAAGGATAACATTGCGGATCCGCTAACCAAAGGGTTAAATAGAGAGTTAGTTGGGAAATTATTGAAAGGAATGTGACTCAAGCCATTGAAAGAATAAGTCATTACAAAGGAAACCCAACTTAGTTGACTGGAGATCCCGAGATCTAGGTTCAAAGGGACAATCTAACTGTAAATACTTGATAAAATCACTCTGGGGGTATCGCCTCCTATCCATTCTTATGATATAATAGTGATGCCTGTAAGGATGAAGGTTAAGCAATAGGCTTTTAATGATTCTTACGCGTCGAAAATCGAGCCAAGTAATGCGGGTTATTTATAATAAGAAATCACCTATGTGAGAAAGAAGTGTGGCCGCTTCTAAGAGAATTGTGTGGGGCTCAATTCTTAGAAATTCTCACAGAACTAGGCATATGTTCATGGTCAAAATGAACATAATAATGGGAACTGAAGGATGTTAGGAAGAATCCTGTGTCAAGTATGTCATCGTTTACACAAATGTTAGAGCAGTTCAAAGACATCGCGTCTACTGGTCAGCCAGTAAAGTAAATATACTTTCACAAGGGAAGGTTCAAAAGGTAACATCTACATATCCTATGCAGGCTTCAACCGTTGAACTTTATCACCAAATCTTATGTCTCACGTTTTGTGTCTCTCCCAATTTTCATTCATGTGAAGGATTGTTGAAAAAAAAAAGAGTGAGCGGCTCACTTTTGGCACACTTTTCGGTGGAACCTATTGGTCCAATTTGGCATATCAAAGTTGATATGTGTTCTCCTCCACGAGAACATCGAAGTCATGCATTTATTTGCCAAAATTGAAGCTCGGGTGAAATTAGAGTTTAAAGTGGACCATAGAAAATGGTCTATGTTGGTGGGAAAATTATAGATAATTTTGTTCCACATAGGAAAAACATGGAAACCAAAACCACTTTATATATGGATGTGCATTGGAATGGTGTGATCATGTGTAGCATAGACGCTCTCTCCACGTGCGCGCACAGGGGGGGTGCAAATCACGGACAGAAATAGCTTTCGGACTTTCAACTTGGGTGCGGGCACGACCTGCGCACACGAATGTCGAACCAAACGAAGCAAAAACTGACCAGTTTGGATTGTCCGTGTTTTGCAATTTTTGTGGTTTTTCCAAATGACTTTTGAGTGTCTGAAACTCCTAAAACTCCAATAGTCGAAACCGAAGTGTAACTCCGAAAACTGCAATGGTTAATGCAGAAACTAATAGTCAGATTCAGTCTATATAATTCACTCAATTTCCAACAGTTCATACACTGAAAATTTCATCTGCAATTTCCAGCAGTTTAAACTCAGAACAGTTCTATTTTCTGTTTTTGTTCCGTCTCCTCCTATGTCCATTTCAGTAAGGTAATATTGTTTGAACACTCGCTCAGTTCGTCAGAGTAGAACCGCGATGCTCGGATTCTGCTGGTTACCGTTGTATTCTGGGAGAAGACGCTCGAACTAAACCTTTAGCACTACGGTGAGGTAGCGAATGTCTTAAGGAAACTGTGTTTACACAAGTCTCGGGTTGAAAATTTATCTGCTATTTATTTAGTTCGCATTTTATTCTTGCATATTTATTTATTTAACGATTTACACATTTGCAACATACTTGACTCATATATTGTTTGTTAAATTTATGTTAGAAAATAGATAAATAAAATAAACTGTTTTTTTAATTCGTTATATGTGTGAAAAATAGATTTTACATATACGGTATTTTTATTTGTAAGTGAAAGAATTTATGTTATTTTAGTTAGTGTATGAATAAAAACACTTTATGCAAATTTTGTGCTAATACAGTAAGATTCGCTTGCAAATACAGTGAGCTGCTATATACAGTGAGTTTTTTGCAAATACGGCAGCATATATGGTAAGTTGCAAATACAGTAAACTGTCTGACATATACGGTAAGCTGTCAAATACAGTGAGTTGCCTGGCATATACGGTAAGCTGCCATATACGACGAATTGAACTGCCAAATACGATAAGCAATTGCCAAATACGATAAGCGTGAATTCGATGTCTAAATCACATATACGGTATATGAGAACATGATTCCACTCCATACACTACCGATTAAATTTACCAACACAAAGTTGAGGAAAAATTATGGGTCCTCGTACAAAATTGTTGTATCGATAGAATTTGTGATTGAAATAAGTTTATGAAAAATCGAGTTTTAAATTTTAAGGCAATAGAATGAAAGGAAATCAATACCTCAAATAAAAAGTTGTCACATGGATGATTACTGCAGTCGTTGATTATAAATAACATTATACAAAAGTTTAAGGTCATCAACATAAATTATTCTTCATCATTTCGTTTGTTTGTTACCGAATTAGTCGAGAGATATCGTCTTTTAACTTGTTACATTAAAAAAACCCGATGTTATAGAAAGGAATATAATAAAATGAATTTTGCTATATGTACATAAAATGGTTGCAAGAATTAATACAGATAGTACTTAACAGCAATCTGTCGGATAATAAAAACAAAAAAAAAAGACAAACAAACCAGATGCTACCACAATAGCAACAACAATTCCTCTATACAAAGGGGAATTATTGTAATAAAATATAAAGAAATGGAATTAAAATAATTATTACTAAAATAATTATTTATTGAAATTTTTTGAAAGTAGGATATTTATTTATCAATAACTTAATAATTTAATGTGGCATAAAAATGGAAAATTCAAGGAGCTATTAGAAAACCGGTAAAAACCCAAATGGCAGTATTCCTCATCAGCTCTCCTCCGGGTCCTTTGTCCCTTGGATACAGGTAAATTCTTCTTTGTTATTCTCTTTGAATCGAAAATACTTACCCAGAACCAATAAAGCCCGGACCGGACCGGAGAATAATGTACGGTGGTGCCGGCAAGTTGGGCCGTGGAGGCGGAGGAGGTGGCGGGGGCGGGAAGCGGAACATCAACTCCACCTTTCACGCGCCGCCTATAAGTCGCGCCTCTGCTGCTCCCGGTGGCCGCCTCTCTTTAGGAGGAGGTGGCCGAGGCCGGGGCTCCGCCGCTTCCATGGGTTCGGGTCCGTCCACCGCTTCTGTGCAGGCAGAGGAGACCTACAGCCTCGTCACGGGGAATCCTCTGAATTTTGCGATGATAATAAGGTTGGTGCCGGACCTGGTGGAGGAGATCAAGCGCGCGGAGTCAGAGGGGGCCAAAGTGCGGATCAAATTTGATGCCAATGCCAATAATAGCAACGGGAATGTCAGTCCTCGTATCTAAATTTTTGTTCTTTTCTGTTGAGTTTTATGTTTTACCTATTGATTTCTAATATATAGGGCTTAAGGTTGAACTGAAATTCATTTACTTCTTTTAACGAGTAAGCTTTAGACTTGGGACTATCAGATTGCTTCTTGAAGTGAAAGCTTGGTTCTGCATATGTTATGTTCAATTGAACTTGTTTTTTTCTAATTGATACGAATAGTAATCATTATTTTTAAACAGTAATCAATAATTTTAAACAAATTCAATCATATCCGGCTTGTCATTTGAATGCTGTTTTTGCATTCTGTCTAGCTTGCTAATCTTTGTGTCTGATTGTTGTAGGCAATTTGAAATCTATGATACATTCTTGCAGTGTTCTGATTTGGGAGAAATACATTTATGATAAGTACTGTTCTGTAGGACTAACGATAAACAATGCATTGAAAATTGAAACTATTTCACTTGAAATAAAACAGAACTGGCTATTAAAGATCATGCTGTTGCTCAAGTCTACTTGAAATTCCACCCTTACAATGGAGTATTGCTATTCATGCGGTCCATAAATGTTCAGAATAATATATGTTGGACTTGTGGAGATTGATAATTGTGACAGAATGTTTAGACATAGATGGCATTTAATAGAATAGGAAACACGAGATGTGTGTACTCACACTCAGAATACTGGTCATTTGAAGACATCTCCACCTTATTTCAGCTAGGCATTGACCATCTTTGTGTCCATTTCTCGAGTAGGCTAGGCCAGGCTAGGCAATGCTATTGAGATTGCTTGTTAATGTTTGATCAAATGGATAGTTTCATCCTCTGAAACTAGTTGTTCATTTGTCATGTAATGTGATGCGTGTATCCAGGGAATAGTTGCTTCAAAGCGAATGATCAATCTAGAGTTCATTTGGATTCTATCAGTAATGAAAATTTGGAACATCACATACAGACTCGTCTCTCCTCTCTTGTCTTCTTCTTTAATCATGCCCTCCCAATTTTATGCTTGTGAAATATTCTTCTTGGATGCCTGTTTTTGAAGAAATTTTCCTTTGTAACTCTCAACTAGTTGATACTTGTATCAAATGTTTTTATTTCATGGTACCTTTATCTGCAACAAGATTCCTTCGTATAGTTAATGTGATATGCAATATAGTGTCAACCTGAGTTTTTATTTTATTTTATTTTTCGCCAGGCCATTAATGTGGGTGATAAGAACTTCAAATTCACATGGTCACGGGAAATGGGAGACCTTTGTGACATATATGAAGAACGTCAAAGTGGTGAAGATGGAAACAGCTTGCTTGTAGAATCAGGGGGTGCTTGGCGCAAGCTGAATGTACAGCGTGTCTTGGATGAATCAACTAAAAATCATGTTAAAATGCGGTCACAAGAAGCTGAGCAAAAGCTCAAATCACGCAAGTATGCTGTCTTTCCTGAAGTTTTAATATATATGTTTACAGATCTTGACATTTCTCTACTTATTCTATCAACGTTATCAACTTGATAATAGGCCAAGGGAAAGGTATTTTATTATTCTTACTTGATTTTAGAACAATATACATTGTTCAAACAACATGAGCATTTACTTCATATGAGTGATACTGCCATTTGACGGAATAAGAATTTGAAATTTTCTGGTCTCTTATTGTGCGATATTAATATTTTTTTAATTTACTTGCACAAAATCGTCGTGGGTACGCCGCAATAGTTTTTGCGATCTTAAAAATATCTTGACCATTTTCGATTTATTATCTTTTTTATATTTTGATCAAGGCTTCTCTATTGTCCGACAGGGCCATTGTTTTAGACCATCAAAACCCAACTATGAAGAATCAAATTAAGGCATTGGCTGCTGCTGAGTGTAAGTCTTTTCTTAATGATGTGGATAATTTTGCTTGGGGTCAAATGCTATATTAAATGTTCTGTTCCATGCATCAAAGTCATCGTATTGCGCCTTTTGAACATTGCCTGGCGGCAAGCATCTTGATGTCTCTATCCTAGAGCTTGAAATTTATCTGGATCGAGAAATTAGAAGAGCCTATAAAAAATATAAGTGGCAGGCTTAATAATTCCTACCTTTTATTAGTTCGACACCCAATTTTGTATGACTCGCTGTTTAAATCAAACTAAATAAATATGCGCACCTTGATTCCCTACACTTCTGTGCGAGTGTGTGACGTGTCTTTTTCCAATGTGAATCATAATTCATAACCTTAATCTTCCCTAAAAGAACCTCTTTCAAGTTTGGAAACTTCAACAATGACAAGTCTTTTTCAATATGCATCGTAACCTTAATCTTCCCTAAAGGAACTTCTTTCAAGTTAGGAAACTTCAACATCTTACTATTGGAGATAATTAGAAAAAGAAAAAGAGTGAGAGAGAAAGAGAGAGAGAGAGAGAGAGAGAGAGAGAGAGGGGAAAGGAAGGGAGAGAGGAGATTGCATGTCATATCTAAAGTTATGAACTTCTTCTAATTAAGATAGAGAAAAAATGATCTCTTTAATATAAATGAGGTCTATGCGAAAGAAGCTTGCCATTGGCAATGAAGAAATGCACACTTGATATTTGTTGGCATTATCTGTATGCTTTATTTGATATAAAAAAAATACTGCCTACATGTCAGTGTAATGTGGAACATGGTTTGAGATATTGTCTGTCCTTTATATTTTTTCTAATTATCAATATAATTATGAGGTCGTGGACTTTTTTTTGCATAGATTGAAAATTCTAATAAAGTACAAATACTATGCAAATTTGGAAAATGTTCACTTTTATCTCTAGGTTGAGTTAAACTTTCTAAGTTAATATTTGCTCAAAATTCATTGTAGAGTATATTCCTCAAATAGGATTTTCTAACCCTGAGATGCTAACAAAGTAAGTTGTCATTGTACCATTTACATACCCAAAACTCTCAATGCTTATGACACCAACGAGACTATAAATGTATGTAACACAACATTAAGCGTGTAGGACAATCCTATTTCAAATAGGATTGGTTTTATCTCTTTTTGATCTTCTTTTTTTATTTAGAATAAGTTTTCTTTTTTTATTTCTTATTTAGAATAGGATTTCTTTTTCTTTCTTGATTAGAATATGATTTTTTCTTTCCTTTTTATTAGAAATTTAGTTTTCTTTCCTTATAGTAATAATATTAGGAAATTATTTTACCCATATAAATAAAAGCTTTGTCCACTTTTCAGTTATCAATTCAATTAATTCAATATAATAAAGCCTTTGTTTGGTCTCCATTTTAATGAGATCTTGGAAAAAATGTATATGAAATAGTAATTTTTTTGAGAATGTTTGGTTAAAAGGTAAGAATTTTTTTTTAATTTACGTATAATATTATTTTATTGAAGAATGCATGGTTGAAAATAATAAAGAAAAAATGCATTAAAATTTTAATGGAGCCTAAATAGGGGAAATTATTCTCTACCAATTTCAAGTTTTTCAACTTTATTCTTATCTTAAGAATTTCAATTTTGCTTTCGCACCAAAATTGGTATCAGAGTAAGATTGACCCTTGGTTGATGGCTTCATATGGTAGTAGTGGTGCACATCTTCGCGACAATTATGGATACAAAATTACCAATATTGATTTAGAATGTGGAATGAAGGATGGTTACGCAACTGACAAGAATTTACGGACTTTGACTGTATGAATGTTGGTTGCTTCAACAAATTTAGAGCATGAAAATAGGTGGCTACGGAATTTCATTGAGTCCCATCTAAGTTTGAAAACTCACAAGCTATCAAGGATTTTGTATAGGTTTACTGGAGATTTATAAAAGAGCCTAATTTGAAGTACGACAAGATTTTTAGAATGCGATGCACTATCAACAACAAAGTATGCACGTAATAATAGATATGAGAGTAGGCCCAATTTGAAGTACAACAAAATATTTAGAATACAATGCACTATCAACAACAAAGTATGCACGTAATAAAACAAAATATTGGTGAATGCTTTAAATTTGAAGACTGAAAATTACTCATCTCGCTATTAAGTTCCGCTAGTGAAAGGGGGAAAGAAATTCAAAATATGGATGTATGCAAAATTTCACTTTCTATAGGATAGTACTACAAAGATGAGATTGTGTGTAATGTTATTGAGTTGGACCTCATGTACTTTAGGGACAATCATAGTACTATGATGCATATGCCACTTACGTAGGTTGAGATAACATGTTTTGGTAGTACGATAAAAATGTTTTTCTTTTGTCACATAATGATTAAATTGCCAATATCAATGTACATAGAGCAAAAAAATTATAAGATAGATGATGTCAATCAAGATTATCATGATGTTATTGAATATAATACTACAATAAAGGTAGAGAAGCACATGTAAGTTGAAACTTCGGAACTTGGTGATCTCTTATACACGAAAATTGATAATAATAAGCATAAGTATGAAAACAATTCTGGTGAAATTGCAATTAAAGACATCAAGCTTGAGTCACACTGTAATGCTGAAACAAGTTGAAGTTGAGAAGATATTAACTGAAGAAATGGGAATTGAACTTGTGAGTCACAAAGGACTCAAATATAAGGCTTGTCAAATTAATATTAAGTTTCGTTGACCCTCTCCATGATCCCAATATCAAAGAATTGCATAAGCACAAGGAAAATAGTGAAAGAATTGTAGTTTTGAAGATGGCATTATTAGAAAAAAAAGGGGGAAAAATGAGATGTACAAAGAATCGAAAATTCCTGTGTTTATATGTGCACGAAGGGAATTTAAGAATGAGAGATTGAATAAACCATCGCCCCCCGATTGATTGTTTTTCTTTTCTTCAAAATCTCAACAAGAAGTTTTTCTCTAGTGGGATAGAATGATGTAAGACAATTATATTCCAAATAGGAATTGTTTTATCTCTTTTTCTTCTTCTTTCTTATTTAGAATATGTTTCTTTTTTCATTCCAAATAAGAATTGTTTTATCTCTTTTTCTTCTTCTTTCTTATTTAGAATATGTTTCTTTTTTCTTTCTTATTTCAATAGGATTTCTTCTTTCTTTTAGATTAGGATTTTAGCTTAGTTTCCTTATATTAGTAAGATTAGGGAGTTATTTTACTTATAAAAACAAATGCCTTGTACACTTTTCAATTATCGATTCAATATAATAAAATTATTCTCTACAAATTTTAAGTTTTCAACTTTATTCTTGTTTCAAGAATTCCAATTCTGCTTCCGCACCATTAAGTGGGACATTGCTAATGAAAAAGCATTTGATTTTTTAAAAACACCATAATCTCTTTGTCAACTTTTGCATGCCTTTTGAGATTGAGAAATTCTATGATTACCCTATTTTTCAAATTTCTGAACGGTATAATCTCACATGGATATGTTCCTTCTGACAAGGGAAGCATGTGGCTCTTCTAACTATACTTCCTCCAGCTACCAGAGTAAGGTTTTCCAATTTTCCTGAGGAGATCTTGGGAGATGTATTTGTTTTATGCAGAATTCTAATGGGGATTGTTTTGTTTACACATTTGAAAGTTGAAAGTTGAGAGTTGAGTAAACTCAAGCAAACAAGGTATTTTAAGTTTTTAAGCAAAAGAAAGAGGCATCAAGTTCTTCCTTGGGATAGTCCTAGCCAAAATGGGGAATTAGCAACACATTGAACCTGTATAGGCTGAGTTTTGGCAGTACTTCATCGTCTCACGAATTTAACATTCTTTCTACAGATCCCATGGATCTTAAATCCTCTCAAAATCTTGGATGACCCGTTATTTGCATCTTGGAATTGTGTCTAAGCAGTCCGGACCTGAATGGGGCTTGATTGCTTCAGTCTCCTATATCTGCCAAACTTAGCTCCAAACCATTGGCCATTTAATTGTCCGTAGTCATGTATGAGAAGGCAAAGTGTAGAGAGAAAATCCCTGGATGCCTGGACTTCTGTAAGTCAGTGGATTAATTGATTGATCATGTTAACCTTGAGAGGTAGCTTAGTGTTTAGGTATTGGGTTTGCTCCCCAATGGTCACAAGTTCGAGTCCCCTCAGAGTCACATAGGTGAGTACCCAACTGTAAACTTCAGGGTCCCGTGGGATCCTCTCAAACTTGTTCCATTTGATTGCCTATAAAATTATTCTCTACAAATTTTAAGTTTTCAACTTTATTCATGTTTCAAGAATTCCAATTCTGCTTCCGCACCATTAAGTGGGACATTGCTAATGAAAAAGCATTTGATTTTTTAAAAACACCATAATCTCTTTGTCAACTTTTGCATGCCTTTTGAGATTGAGAAATTCTATGATTACCCTATTTTTCAAATTTCTGAACGGTATAATCTCACATGGATATGTTCCTTCTGACAAGGGAAGCATGTGGCTCTTCTAACTATACTTCCTCCAGCTACCAGAGTAAGGTTTTCCAATTTTCCTGAGGAGATCTTGGGAGATGTATTTGTTTTATGCAGAATTCTAATGGGGATTGTTTTGTTTACACATTTGAAAGTTGAAAGTTGAGAGTTGAGTAAACTCAAGCAAACAAGGTATTTTAAGTTTTTAAGCAAAAGAAAGAGGCATCAAGTTCTTCCTTGGGATAGTCCTAGCCAAAATGGGGAATTAGCAACACATTGAACCTGTATAGGCTGAGTTTTGGCAGCACTTCATCGTCTCACGAATTTAACATTCTTTCTACAGATCCCATGGATCTTAAATCCTCTCAAAATCTTGGATGACCCGTTATTTGCATCTTGGAATTGTGTCTAAGCAGTCCGGACCTGAATGGGGCTTGATTGCTTCAGTCTCCTATATCTGCCAAACTTAGCTCCAAACCATTGGCCATTTAATTGTCCGTAGTCATGTATGAGAAGGCAAAGTGTAGAGAGAAAATCCCTGGATGCCTGGACTTCTGTAAGTCAGTGGATTAATTGATTGATCATGTTAACCTTGAGAGGTAGCTTAGTGTTTAGGTATTGGGTTTGCTCCCCAATGGTCACAAGTTCGAGTCCCCTCAGGGTCACATAGGTGAGTACCCAACTGTAAACTTTAGGGTCCCGTGGGATCCTCTCAAACTTGTTCCATTTGATTGCCTGAAGTTGGGGAGCTTTCAAAACTTGCTAACAGGGGAACAAATTAGAGAATTCTATTTTCAATTGCATTACTGAACTTTTCAATCTCTAATTGTCACCAACCCCTTCTCGTGTCTGTGCAAATGCATTGAGGACAGCATATATGTTTCTAATGTACATGTGACAACTTGTAACCTTTTCATTTATTTTAATACAATTTTATATATTCCTGTACCGTACCATTTTTTTGCAATTTAGCACATATTTAGCAAAGCTTAATATTAATTTAAGCTAGTCAAACATACTTTTATACCTAAATTTCATAGGACCCATTACTTATCACCTACTTATTATCCTTTGATTTTGTAGGACCCATAGCTTAAAAGCACTAGAAGCAAGCTATTAGGTTATTGGTGGAGAAGTTGTTGTATAGTGATTTGCTTCTCCTGGGATTGCAAATAGAACTTCTATATCTTTTCAGTAAGGGCGTGTCCAAGGCAGCTTGATGATCATTTCTGTTTCCTTAAATATTGGGATTTGAAAGAAAACAAAAACCATTATATGACTTCGATCCCTGAAGGCCTTCTGGATTCTTATGATTTTTAGGAACCATCAAAAGAAGATGACCGTGGAGTCCATTTAACCAAGCCATATGAGATATTAGATTGGTTAAGTTTAATTGTACAGACGTGAATGATTAAAGTTCAGACCATGAGGTCACCTATAAAAAAAGTCCATAGCATGAGCTTGACATTCTTTATTTACCTCAAGTTTATGAGAAGCCTCAAAAATATCCGCTATTGATTAATATAATATTGAAGAGCAATCTTTTTATGATTGATGCTCGAGTGCATGAATTTGTTCTTATGTAGAACTGCAGTGTGAATGTTTTTAACCAGTATTTAAACTTGACTTCAATATATTTGTCATATTTTCAGCTACTCCATGGAGAAATTTCAAGCAAAAGAAAGAGCCTCCTTTCAAAAAGAGAAAAGCTGAACCTCCTTCAGGTAAATAAGGGGGAAAATTTTTGGCAATTCCTTTGCCATCTTTATATAGTTGTCATCCATATTTAGCATATCACTAAACTGCGAACGAGCTGGGTAAGTTTTTTAGGGTTCTGATTTTATTCATTTTTAATTATTATTTTAGTTGCCATTATTTCTCATTCATCAATACATTAGGTGGACCTGCTAAATCTGTTTATAAATCTGCGGTGGCTACAACAACCCCTTTGAAGGGAAGGACTATGGATTCACCTCTATCTTCTCCACCGGAGCAGTCCGGTGCTCCAGTTTCGCCATTTGGAAGTGGCAATTTAATGAAGGGATATGCAGGTATACAAGACAGTATACCAACTCAAACTAACAATAAGACTGCCAGCTCGGAGAAAGAAATGCCTGGCAGGGTGATGAGTAATACAGTCCGAGATAAACCAAAGCACATGGCGCCGAAAGCTTCCGATTTGAAAAGTTTGGTAATTTCTCTTCTCATGGAGCATCATTCCAAGGGTATGAGTCTCAAGGTAAACATGCATTCTTTCTTTTCCTGCTTGTTTGAATTAAAGGTATCCAGATATCTAACTTCATGAATACCTTAAATGTCCTTAATTTAATGTTAACCTCAGATCTTGCCAATTTCTTGTTCAGGGCTTGGAGAAGGCTATTGGGGATGCAATGCCCAACTCGGTTCGGGAAATTGAGCCCATCTTAAAACAGGTAAGCAGTGCAGATCTTGATAGGGTTTTCTCCCACTCATAAATTGCTTTCATATCTCATTAAATTATCATTGTTAGGTTGCTACTTTTCAAGCTCCAGGAAGATACTTTTTGAAACCAGGAGTAGAGATGGAAAACTTCAAGAAACCTTCATCTGAAAGTGGAAGGTACTCTGCATCATCTGGCTTTCCTGACTGACTCTTTATGCTTGTTTTGCCAAAGGCCTGGCCTCACTTTTCTTTTTGCTCTCGAAAACAAGATGGCACTTTGATGAGCTTAACTATGCATGTTACCGTCTCTATCAAAATGAAATAAAAATAGGTAAAATGGTCGTCCATTTCTTCTACTTTGGCAATAAAGTACTTATTATTGTGGAATTTTAAACTAAAGGTCAGGGAACTTTGGTTAGGATTCTGTAATCCAAAATTTCCAACACACTTTGGGCTGGTGAAAATGAAAATTACTAGGAAAAACCCACCCGCCCAGCCATACGCTTACATAGGGAAAAAAAAAGGAATTAAATCCAAATATAAGAATGTTATAATTGTCGAATTGTGCCAGGAATGGAAGCTCAGTAAGGTAAAATGAAACTTTTGGTCTTTGTTATAGTCTCATAACTTCATCTTTGGCAACGGTAATAGCTGTCTTTGAGTTACTCTACTGCACACCCGCTTGTTTCTAATCTCTCTAACCCCAAAAAATTAAATAAATAAACCAATTTAATGAATAAAAAAGAGGTAATTATATTTTTGAGGGGATGATATGATACAATATTTTGACCCATTTTAAACATTCTTGTTTGTTCAATGTCAACCTTACTGCCTTTGGGTTTTTAAATGTAACCAATCATCTCCTCGGGCAAGCATAAATGCATTAATGAATATGATATTGTGATCATTATAGATCTGTGGCGTTGTGTTTCTTATCTATGATGGTTCCATATTTGCCTTGGCATGCTTTATTTTGTTAGAATACAAATAAGCTTGAGTGCAAGGTTTTGAATTGCATCAAACCAGTTTTCTGTTTATTCCTCCATATTAATTGATGCACCTATGCTCATTACCACATGTACAATGTGTTGTTACTTTGCAGTTCTCCAGAATTGAACCGTCTATCTTTGGTCCATGAGAAGAGTGCCCGACTCCCTGTTCCAGAACCCACCTTTTCATTGAGAACGGACACCGATGAATTACAAGAAAATGCTCTATCGAACTCAATGCCTAGACATGACTTGGACACCATAGAGAAAATTGATATCCTAAATAGTTCACCTACTGCTTTAAGTGACAAAAAAGTTTCTGATCATAGTGAAGGGCCTGCAGCTAGTTCTAGTGATAGTGGAAGTGACAGTGCCAGTGAAAGTGATAGCAGTGACAGTGGTAGTGATAGTGGAAGCCATAGCAGAAGTAAAAGTAAAAGCCCAGTGGCAAGTCGAAGTGGTAGTAGCAGTGACAGTGAAAGTGATGCATCTTCCAACAGCAAGCAGGCATCCGATGAGGATGTTGATATTATGACGAGTGACGACGATGACAACGTTGTGAAGTCCAAGCATAGATCCCAAGATTCTGGGCCTGTCTCACCTAAATCTCCTAGTCAAGGGAGACCTCCTTATAGTGAATCTGTTGATGTTGTAGATGATCATGTTTCTGATGTGGTTGAGATTGAGAAAGACTTGCCTGAAGATGACCAGGAAGCTGAAATGGCTGCAGCTACTAATTCAGTTTCTAGCAAAGATAGTGAAAAACTTGTGGAAGGGACAAAACCTTCTTCACTCAATCATCTCAGGGCTAACGAAAGCCAAGTCTACAGGCAAAGATTCTATGGTGAAACAGAAAATGTGGTAAGGGATGGCTTCAAGCAACAGCAGTCTGATAGCAGAGAAAGGATGCCAAAAAGCAAATTTAGAAGGCATTCTGACGATAAGCAATCTGATGAGAGGCCTTACAACAGTAAAAGATCAAAAGGCAACAACTCGAGTCAGACTGTGTCTGGGACAATGAATGCTCTCTTTGGTGAGAGTCCTTGCAATTCATCCCCTGGTAGGCCTCTACAAGGCCATCATAAGGGACCTACTATTCAAATGGCTGATAGAACTGCTTGGGATGGTGCTGATGATTCTAGCATACCGAAAGGTTCCGAGCAAGCCTTTCCAAGTAGATCTGTTTCTGAATCTCAGCAACCAGATCGAAAATCTTTTGATGCTGGCATACAGGCTAAGGTCCCTTCTGGAGAAGAGTGGTCAGGTAAACATGCTGAGAACTTGGGTCGTGGCATTAAGTCCACTGAAAGAAACCTTCAATCAAGCAAGGGTCTTAAGCTTCATAAAGATAAGAGTAAAATAGAAGCGCAAGGGGAAGATGGTTTTGTTGGTGAGAAAAGGCCAACCAGTTATTCTGCTGGTGTTGGAGACAAACAGTCTCTGCTGACTGAATCTCGTCACCAAAAAAATGAAATTGTGGGGAAGTTGAAGGAGCCTGGGTCCATGGCGCATTCTCCCAAGGACAGCAACACTAATTTTCCTGAAAGATCTCCTTTGATGAATGATCGGGGCAGAATACTACGAAGAGAGCATTCAGAATTAGAGTTGGGTGAATTTCGTGAACCTGTTCCTGATGAAACTCCTGGCTCTAAGAAGAGATTTGAGAGGGAAAATTCTTTTAAAAAATCAGAAAACAAACCAACAAGTTCGGAGTACTGGAACTCAGATTCAGGTAAAGGAAAACCTACTAATAAGATTACTTCAGATTCAAGGAAACTGTCTTCACCCAATGCAAATAATGTGGCTTCTGGCTTTCCAAATGGATCATTGAAGAGCCAAACACCAGAACACCATGGTGATGATATTTCAAGATCTTACCCAAAAACTGCTCAATCTCAACCGCAGCAGCACCAATCTAGACATATTGAAGGCGGAACAAACCTGGGGACTAGCTTGGAATCTCATCAGGATACGTACAGCAGAGTGCCTGTAAATGCATCAGCAGAGCAACGTGATCCAAAACCAGTTGTCCCATCTATGAAAGAAGGCAAGAATCAAAAATCCAAAGCAAGTGCGAATTCAAATGATAAACAAAAAGATGCTTCTTTGACAGCGAGCAATGGTGGTGGTCAGAAACGGAGAGAATCTTCATCTGATGAGAATAGTTGTTTGTATTCCAAGTATGACAAGGAAAAGCCTGAGCTGAAGGGTCCAATAAAGGATTCCTCACAGTAAGTATTAACATGAGCTTTTCGTGAATGACTTATTTTATCTTCAACTGTGCATATTGTTTAAAACCTCGACTTTTATTGTCTGTACCTAATATAAACACCATCCGCTCTTCAGGTATAAAGAATATGTGCAGGAGTTTCAAGAGAAATATGAGAGCTATTGCTCCTTGAACAAAATCTTGGAGTCTTACAGGTATTTGGCAAGTTTTAAGGTCCCATTCTTGAATTTTGTCTTTAATCTTTATCAAAATAGATTATTTATCAATGCTGAAATGGTGTTCTAGTTCAGTTGTCTAATCTGTGTTGTGCATGTGCTCAGGGATGAGTTCAGTAACTTCGGGAAGGACCTTGAGGTGTACAGAGGAAGGGACACAAAGAGATATCATGAAATTTTAGGACATATGAGAGCATCCTTTCGTCAGTGTGGGGAGGTATATTTAATTTTTGTTTCATAGATTATTAAGGGCTGTATTGTGCATACGTAACAAGTCTGTTGACAAGAAATTGTTATGGAATCACTTTCTGCTGCATGCCTCTATCACAGAGCAATGGCTAATTTATTGATGTCTTATCTGTTTAGCAAGTTGCTACAAAGTGATCAGGATTGCAATAACGTTTAAATTTGTGCAGAGACATAAACGACTGAAAAAGATTTTTGTTGTGCTTCATGAAGAGTTGACGGTGAGCATCTAGTTGGTCTTTATAAACTTCGCTTCTTTTTTTCACATCTCATTTTATTATTTTTGTTTTCACTTTCCCTTTTAAGTTAACAAAATTGGTGCATATGTTTGTGTACAGCAACTGAAGCAGATGATCAAAGATTATGCTGCGAAAGACTGATATCTATTTGTCAATGCTTTACTGGGAAGATTCACCGAATGTTGCCTGCAAAGCTTCATTTGTATCCTCGTGTTGTCAAAAGTTGAAAAATGATTGCCCGTGGTGTTTGCTAAACTGTATGTCAATGGGCATCAGTGCTCTAGACGAGATTGAGGCCAGTAAAGTTAGTGGAGATTATGTTTTAACATTGCGGAGGTGGGAAAATCTGATGTCCAAGGGTGGACACGTACTGTATATTTATCATTTTCGTTATTTTTCTTCGTTTTTCATTGTGATATGGTTGTTCTAGTAGTATTGAAAGGTGGATTTACTTCTTTTAAAATAGATCCTGTCCCTTTGTTTTTTTTGAGGGTTGGCACTTCTTGATGAATGACAAGATGTAATCATTGTAATCAATTTTGACATTGTTTGGGTATTATAGTTTAGTCTATTATCAAAGGCAGAAGGGCAGTAATAGATACACTTTAGTTAAAGTGCTTTTCTTTTATTATATTTTTATGAAGCTATAGATGTTGACTAGGTTAAAAGAAACTATTCTAAAGATCGAACGAGAGTTTGGAGCAAGTTTCTTCAATTGATAATTCGTCGTGTACGTGCAGTTTGCACCAAGTCCTTTTGAAGATAACTTTGCGATTTGAAGTGGCGATTAGTGTGTTGTGTTAGGAAATATCTACTTTGTAATGAAGAGACAACTAAAACTTCTCTAAATGCGTCTTCTATTATTTACCATTTTACTTGAATTGTGAAAATAGTCAATTTGAATGTATATAGTGTATGTCTAAACTTAATTTCTAGTTTTCAGACCGTTTTCAAATTTAAATAAAATTTTTGAAAAGGAATCCAATTAGTTAAAGTCCTAATTGGATAGTACCAAATTATGAACTCCAAAATAAATTTAAATCCTAAATTAATAATTGGGAAATTTTCTCCCACAGTCCTCAAAAATTTTAACTTGTTGCACTTGGGTCATAGTTCATTTTATTGTCGCATTAGGTCCTCAAAGGGTCAAACTGTCTTTTTGACTTAAAAGAATGGAAGCTTAGGTAATCAATAGACAAAAATTATGCCTAAAGAATGTTCGTGTGCCTTTCAAATGACTATATTTGATAGAAATTTGAAAAGTTTTCTTCTATTTATCCTCGCGTGCACCAAAGGCAATATATTAATCTAAATTCGTCCAAAAAATTGAATGGAGACCAAAGTGAGTCAAGTAGCACTGTCTGGGGACTCTGAGAGAATTCCCTAATAAATAATTTTTAGAGATGTTGGGCCAATATGTGGTCCAGCCCAAAGGCCCAAACCCAATTGCAAGGCCCAGATATAATTCTAATGATAAGAACCTAATGGGCTCTCTCCCCGTACTGAAAACAACCTGGGGTTTTAGCTCCCAGCAGAAGAAACGAAGAAAAGGGGGTTTGCGAAAATGGGGAGAAGAATATTGAACGATGCCTTGAGAACAATCGTCAATGCCGAAAAGAGAGGCTTCGCTTCTGCGGAGCTCAAGCCTGTCTCCAATGTTATGGCTTCCTTTCTTCAAATTATGAAATACCGAGGTATTTATTTACATTTGCATCTATATATGCATGTATCTATTTATGTGTATGTTCATTGACGTATGATGTTTTCAAATGCCCATGTTGTAAAATTGCTTATAGGCAAATGGGTTGGAATTAATTTTTGAAAATTTCTTGAAGATCATATTTTTTATAGCTTGTTTGTATGTGAAGTCAATGTTATATACGGTACTTTTGACTTTTTCAATCAATGCCAATGTTTTAAAATTGTTCATAGGAAAATTGGTGGGAATACATTTTGGAAAATTTTTGAAGTTCACTTTTTTTTTTTTTATAGTTTGTTTGAATGTGAAGTTTGTATTACATGTGTACTTATGATGTATTCAGTCGATGCCCATGTTGTAAAAGTGTTTATGGGTAAATGGGTGGGAATTATTTTGAAAATTTTCAAGCTCATTTTTTCTATAGCTAGTTTGTATACAAAGTGTGAATATATGCGAACATATGGACATATACGTGCTTCTTAATTTGGTATTTTTTAAAATTCTTTTTTTTTAATCAATCCCGAAGATGAATTATAGAGAAATGGGTTGGAATTATATGTTTAATGTTTTTTCCATGAAGTTTGATTTTTTACTTTTTTCCTAAAGATGGCAAATGAAGAGTGTGGACTAACGGATACATGGCAGGGTATATTAAGGATTTCGAAGTTCATGATCCACAAAGAGTGGGGAGGATAACTGTGGAGCTTCTGGGGAGGATTAATGATTGTCGGGCTATCACTTATAGACAGGATATCAAGGCTCATAACATCAAGAATTACAAAACAGACACTCTTCCTACTCATCAGGTTCTCTGGTCACTGTTCTTATTTTTGGTTTTATTATGCTGCTTTGGTATCATTGGGGCTGAACAGGGAGTGGGGATGATAAGTAGTGAACTGTAGTTGGGTTTACAATTTGAGGATTTTGGTTGTATTTCCCAAGTTGAACCATCAATCTACTATGACAAGTTGATTTTAGTTCACTGCAAATTTCTAGATATGCCCAAATGATGTGAACCCACGTAGTAATAGTAGTTCCAAAACCCACGAAAGGTTGAATCAAACCCAAGAGAGCCAAGAAATCAACATTTAGATTTTGACCCAAAATTATTAAATCAAGTAACCAACACAATCGCCAATAATATGTTGACCCCTTAATCAAGAGATTCAAGAATCTCACCTGAATTGTTTGAATGATGAAAAAAAATAATTCTTAATAAGTTCGAAATTTAATTCAATGAAGAACAATGAATTGAAAGCAAAAGAATTGCTCACAAAATAATCTCTCTTATTGAATGAATGAATTAATGTTTACAATGAAATAATGAGTCCTGTTTATAGGAAACCCATAAAATTTGATTAAAAATGGAATTAAAGTCTAATAATACCAAAAGTTACCTTAAAATAGAGTTTTAGTATAAATAAAAGATTTTGTCTACCTAATTAAAATGAAATCAAATTATAAGGATTATAAAAGATACCAAAAATATAGAGTTTTAACTAAATTAGGGGATTTCGTGAAAATTTAGTAAAATTGCATTTGGCTTGAACTATGCAGCCGCATAGTGCATCTGAATGCAGTCGCATAGAGCACAATTTTCTTCCGGCTAGCCTTGCTGCATACACATATGCGATTGCATAGATTTTAACATTATGCGGTCACATAGTGTTCTCTTCCAGCTCCGTCGTCCAATGCTCAAATCAAATTGATCCGCATCGTTTCTTCTTTCATGCCCAACATGAACTTGGTCTTCAGCTTGTTAATGTCACCCTTTTTGGACTCCGTAACTTGAACAAATGATTGCATGGCTTTGTAGACTCTAATTAATCTCAATCTTGACCTTAGCCTCTTCTCGGCATATTTCTAACTCTTGTGAGCTCGTTACCTTCCTTGGATCATGATAAAACCCTGCTGCCAAAGAAGACTAACGAGCAGAAATCAAGGAAATCAAGCAGCTAAAATAAGTAAATCACAGAAAACAGTAAGGCCAACTCAATAGATTTTTCTGTATTGAAATAAATTCTGAATTAACATTAAGAGCAGATTACTCTTCACTACAATTAGAAGTAACTGAAATGAAAATGACAATAAAGAAATGGATAGATGGACTTTCGAGAGGTCCAAACTCTCCCCAGATTTTCCTGATTTTCCAGATGCCTTTTCTTCCCTTCTTCCTCTGCTTATATAATAGCCACCAACCAAATCTATTGTAAACACATGCTGGTTGTTATATTCTTTCCCGTCCTTCCTTTTCTGCCCTTGCCTTGCCTTTATGTCTTTGGTATTTAATTTGTATAGGTGGCCTATACATCATCAAATATGGTGTGTTTGAAAATTCCAAATTTTATTTTGACATGATGCACTAAAATTAATGATTAGTTGTGTTATGTAAATACAAACTAATCTATTTTGAAAATATTTGCATACATGCAATTTAATGCTTTCTCCATCTATTTCCATCTTTTGGATTGTAGTAAGGTTAGGTGTATTATCCTTTAAATGTTGTGTGGTAGAATGCAATTAAATTCTTGAATAGATTGTTGCTTCTTATTGGCAAGTTTGTGCATCAAATTCTTACAATCGTAATTTAAAAATGCTTAATTGTGTACCCAAGTATTTAATCTTTGTGAAGCGAAGCATAAGCCTTAAGAAAGTGCAAAAATATGTTCATCGTAAATCATATACCATCTATCTTAGAGAATCCAGAAGTAAACAAGAAAATTAGAAGTCTTACTTTTAAAGAAATGGAAATTAGATTAAGAGTATCAAACAATAAGTTCTCAAATTAATAATCATGAAACAAAATGATCTTTAAGGAATCATCAAGATCCTCCTCGTCACTAATAGTTTATACTCATTCTTTGTCATCACCCACCACAATAACAAAATGTCCTCACAAATTTACCTCAAGGTGTAAACTTTGAAGCGTTTCATGGAAGCCTCATATGAGGCCGGATTTGAGGTATATCCTCAAATAACTTCTTCAAACAATGGATACAATCAAGATAATACTGTAAATGTGCCAAAAATTGGCTATCATCCTGCAGTTTTTTAATTCACCTGAATTTTATGAATTATGGTTCTGAGTGTATAAGACATTGATCCACCTGACTAGTTATAGTGTCAGCAAATAGTACCAGTACTTTCTAGAACATGGATCTTCAGAAGTTTAAGGCTAGCTTGTTGAAATATCTTAAACAAAGGCACCAGTATAGTAATTGGAACTTAATGGAGAAACAAACACGGCGTTATATCTGATACCGCAGTGCTTCATATATAACTGCTTTATTGAACAACTCTTGACATAAATATCATGTTATGTTTCCTTGTGTGTAAAATTTATGGTGTCTGACGTGCATTGGTAAAATATAGATTATAAAATGGTTGGCTTGGGCATAACATATTTCTTGTAGGTCACGATGAAAACTATCTCAAAAGTACACGAATGATGAATATACGAAGATAAAACTCGAAAGGGTGCAATACAAATAAATGAAGAGATCAGAATTGAAAATAGGGTTTAATTATTTGTTTTGCAGCTATTATTCTCATAAGCAATGAAAGAGAACTTCATGTGAAAAAACCAAGAATGGTAAATAGATATAGATCAACCCATAGGGGTAATACGCATTTAAATTAATGTGAAAATATGTAGATCAACTCATATGGGTACAATATGAATGTAAATGGAAGTCCAGAGTTGACGGTAGATCAACTCATTCGGGGACAATATGAGTGCAGATTAATTTCCAGATCAGATACTCGTAGGGAGCAGAAACTTATTTATTTGCCTTGTCTCTTGCATGTTTTACTAGATTTAATATACAATAACAATTGTAATATCACGTCGATTATTATGCAAGTCGATTTAACCCAAAGCATTGCTTTTTAGGTTTTCTTTTTGATCGCTTCTATTTCACAAATTTTTTGCATTTTATAGATTGTTTTCTTGTACATTTGACAGGTTACTTGGCAAATTAATAATACAACAAACTTTTAATTTTCAGTTTATCTTATTTATTATTTCATACCAATCACAAAATATAATAATGTTAATTTAATACTTAAAATTTAATTTTGTGAGAACTTAAGGTTCCAAAAAGAGAGAAAAGTTTTAAATCCATTGTCAACTATAATACCTCTTTTTAATTATCAAAACTACAATTACCATAATTTTGGCTCAAAAGCTAGAGAGAGATGCTTTGTGTACTCTCCTTTAAAACCCTTTACCTGAAAATTATTATTGGGCGTGCTCTCTCTCCACTTTGAATACATTGTGGAGTTCATGCAAAGTGCCATAGAATCGTACAGTCCTCTTTTTACTTGAACTGTTGAAGTCTGTCATTTGATAATGATTCATTGAAGAATTCTTTGTGCCTCAAGGTCGTTTAACATTTGTTAGCGTTGTCTTTGTTCTTTCTTCTCATGCAGTGGGGCTATGTCGTAATTACAACACCAAATGGAGTTTTGGATCATGAAGAGGCAATTCGACAAAATGTAGGTGGTCAAGTTCTGGGATATTTCTATTGAATTTATGGTCATGGTGTAAGGGGAACTCAAACCAACGATTTCCAATTATCCCTTTAATTTTGTACATTTATCATTGAAGAACTTAAAGCTTTCCTTGAAAAAGCATTTTGTGTGGAAACTAGTCCATGGCCATATTTTTTGTTTTCATCAGTTGGAATAGAAGTTGAAGATGAATATTAAATTCTTGGGAGTCTTGTTCTTGTCCAATTTAACAGTTGAACTCTACGAGTTTGTAGTTAGTACGAGCTTGTGCCTTTGTGTTACAATTGGCCCAGCGCAATAGGAGCCAACGAGATAAGGATCATCTATTGGCAATAAACATATGTTGATTCCTTCCACTTGTCGACTCTCACTTGCCGTGCAGAACATTACGAGTTTGTCTTCTTAAACAGAAAATTTTGACTTGGTAACTGCAATTGGAATTCCAAATCCTGCCCTGATCTTAACTTGGTCAGCTTGTTGGGGATTGGGTGGGGTGATTTAGAAATACATTGCAGATTTCTTAGACTACGACAGTTAAGAATTGAGATACAGGTTGATAGAAACAAAAAGACAAAAGAAGAAATGTTATAGATGCAGTGGATTTATAATTGCCATGGCTCTACTCTGCCCTTTGTTTGCGGAAATTGTTGCCAAAGTCTCAAGTCTGGTTCCCGGGTAAGAGGTGAGGAATGATTCTGACAGTGACGGGTTCAAATGGCTAAAAACTGGCTATTTTGAAGGTTTAAGGCAAAAAAGGATTACTCGAAATGATGCGAAGGATGCATAAAGAATATTCAACGTTGATGGATAGGCTTTCTGCTGCGCCTAAGGATCTTCCATATCTAAATCAAGCGACAAAGATATTTAGGCCCCCAGAAAAATGAGCAGATCGCTAAATTACTTTTGAAGCACAAACAAGCAATGAACAAATGAAGGAACTGACTCAATTAGCGTGCACAATCAACTCAAGCCTGCAAAACTTTTTTATAGGCTGACTGTCTGAGAATGCCAAAGCCTAAATAACTCAACACAATTTCAAAGACTGTATTTTCTACCAATCATAGTTGTTAAGAGGAATTTCTGCAGCCACCAATTATCAGCATGAGTTAATACGAATTGACCCAATTCATCAAAATAGAGAAGTGTTCTGCTGTCGATTGTGTAACACGTTTGATAACACAAAATACAAAAGCAGAAGGAATACTAAGGCATAAACACACATATCCGCAATCACAATGTAGTCAAATTTACACAATAAAACCTTGCCCAATGCAATAGAGAATATAATCCAAGCATTAAATCTATCATTATATGATATATTAGCAGCAATCAGGAGTCTAGGGCTCCAAAAAGTAATAATACCAAACTCTCCCCCAAATTTCATAATATATCCAAATTTTACCCGCGGGCCTTGAGCTCTGCAAGGCGCCTCGAAAGATCATCCTCGTCCACCTTTTCTTCATTTTTAGTCGCAATGGCATGAGCAGCAGGCTGTGGCAGGCCAACGGACACCTCGAGCCCGTAATCATCGGCCACCTGTTGCATAAGACTATTAACCTCACCTTCTGGAGTCGAAAGCGAAGTACTTCCAGCCATCGAGCTCTCCATGAACTCGGCCTGCACCTCCATATTCACAAACTGCTGTTCAAATCGGTCCATAGTTTCGGACATCTTCTGCAAATTGCCGGTAGCAAGGGAGGACTCGAGCGATTTGACGATATTACCCATAGACTTGCTGATCGTAGTCATCTTGGCTTGAGTGTCGAGCCGTGCCACCACGGCGTCGAGCCGGGAGGACAGCCGGAGGTAGTTCATCTGCTCGTTACGTTTCCTAATTGCGTTTTCGGCGTAGATTCTGGCGCCGTCCATGTTACCTTTTTCGATAGCCTTTTTGACCTTCAATTTCTCGGATTTTTCATCCTTTTCGCACTTGCGAGCCTGCCGCTGGAGGCTCTTCGAGGTGAATTTCAGATCCATGATCTGATTCATCAATTTCTCAGTGTTACCCATCTTCGATTGATGATTTGTAGAGAAATTTTTAGAGAGGGTTTAAATTGTTTGTGATCCATTCGGATTGGCGAAGGGGTCTCTTTATTGGGGCGTGTGAGGAGTTGCTGTGGGATTAATTTCAATTTTGGCTATTGAACTTTCATGGAAATTTCAATTGAATACCTTATTCTCAATTGAATCACTAATTTTCAATTTAATTTTCAAATGGGTAATTATATTACCATTACAAATTTTACTAAGTACACCACAATTTTCTTATTTACTAAAATATCCATAAGTAAAATTACATAATTAAAATTTTAATATACATTTTAATTAAATAAATTATTATTACACCGCAAATATAAAACCTAATTTCTTTCTTCATTTTTCTCAACATTTCATTGTTCATAATTTTTTGGACAATTTTTGCCTTCCTTCAGGTGACAAGATAATTTTTTTTCCTCACTGTAAATGAATTCATTTTTTCCAATTCATTTGTCGGGTTTGAAAATTAAAGATCTTATTATTATTATTATTATTATTATTATTATTATTATTATTATTATTATTTTTGTTGAGTTAAACAGATTTATTATGATTTTAAAACAAACATGTAAAATTATGAATTTATGTTTCAGCTTTCGTGGATTTTTGTGTATGAGATCTGTCGGTTTCCTTAAATTTTTGTATATGCAGGTATATGAATTTCTCTCAATTTATAATATACCAAAACAATAAAAAAATTGGAAAAAAAGAGAGAGGATGATGGGAAGTCAAATATAGAATCTTCCTGCAAATGGTTTGAATTTAATTTAAAGAATCCAACATAATATTACAATTAAAATCTTGTTAAAAGCAATTAAACAGACTATTATGGTGCAAAATTTCTGTGACGAAAAGATAATATTTTTGCCCTATAATGCACTTAGTGCGAAATTTCTGTGACGAAGAGATACTGCAAATTTCTATTTTAGAATTAGTGGAAATGTTTAAAGGATGAAAAAAATGAGAAGTAATATTGGGATGATAAGTACACCACATTTTCTTTGTCATTTTTAGTTTTTATTAGATTATGAGTATAATTGTAAATTTGTTGTGATGTATTTATTGAAAATATATTTTAATTGTGGTGTAGGAAATAAATTTTATGGTGGTAATATAATTACCCTTTTAAAAATATTAATCACATGTTAGCTCAAGCTAGGAATGACATCCTTGCCCCGACTCCCCGCTATTTACTTTATTTATTTATTTTTAATAAAATATAATATGATTTTAAATACGTAAAAAATAACTGAAAGGAAAAAGAAAAACAAGAGTCTGAGTGGGACATCTTCTTAGTCCTTGTTTTTCTCTGTGATGAGACGAAATGTGATATATTGTCATTCCTAGCTCAAGCACGTTCTATTTATTAAGGAAGTTATAAATTTTGGGCGCAAGGGGAAGTTTTATGAAAATGGATGAATGGGCAAGAACTAATTTATCTAAGTGAATTTGGGTGGATTGTGAATTTAACTATTTTAATAAAAGAAAAATCACGATTTTGAACCTATTTTGAGAATTTAAGACACATTAGTGATCTTTTATATTCTAATATCAATGTCCAAAAATTGGATGTGGATCAAAATTTTGTCGGAATGTTATTAACTCAAGTGTCCTCAAACCGAGCAAAATAGTCGCCAAAAAAAAAAAAAAACAATGATGCATTTTTTGATAAAACAATTGCTGTGAAAGGGACACGTGGATTAGAAAATCCTACTTGTCTCTCTTCATTCATGACTCTATTTGATGATAGTATTCTATTATTATAGTTTAAAATTAAAACAACCATGTATTTAATATTGAAAGGTAATTTTATGTCCAATTATTTGATTGTGATAAATTGAGTTTGAATGACTCAATTAGGATTTGAATAAAAGTCTGGTGACCAAAATTGTAATTAACTTGTTTTCCCATTTCTTTGAAATTAATTTGATTCGTTTTTCAACACGACTCTACTAGCGCGCAACACGCTTTCTCCGCCAGGTGATATAACTATTGTTGGACTAACGCGTTTTAGTTTTAGAAAGTGAATAAAAAAAATCCTCTTGAATATTAGATCGACATTTACTTAAGAATTAAGATATATTAAACATACTTATAAAAATTGCATATAGTGGATAAAAGAATCAACGCATCTTCAATTTATATTTTGATTCAACCATTTGAAATTAAATCGCGTGGTCAAAAAATATAAGTAAATATTGAGATTAACAAAGTCTAGAACAAAAACCTCTCTTTTAGCCTACTTATTCGACGGATGAGTCACGAACCCAACAAACTCCCTTAGCCCCCGTTTGGCCCCCATTATTTTTTATTATAATGGAGGAATAGTGTTTTTTTGAAAAATGGATGATTGTAAAATAATGAAAAATTTTCGATTTACGTGTAATATAATTTTATTGAAGATTGTATGGTTGAAAATACGATAGAGAAAAATGTAATTAATTTGATGAAATTTAATGAGGACCAAACAGGGACTTAATTAGGTGGTTTTGTATTATTGTCATAGGTTGTGCGATGTTCATATTATTGAAATGTACACTAATTTATAATATTTTAAGTGAATATCGTCAATATCCTAACCGAAGTCCTATGTGAGGGCATATGTCAAGTATGCTGACCATGTGAGTATAAGATTGGCCTTGAGGCAACCATGCGTAGGAATTGGGACCCCATGAAATCGCACTATCTCCTAACATGAGATATTCATCTTGGAACTTATGTTACTGATACTGACATTCCGGGATAACCCGACCACCATATTATCCTGAGGATTACGCTACCCTTTTACGATATACATGAATGCTCGTTCATTTTATCCCGACCACAAATCTTGGATAAACTTGCAATTCCACATATGGAGTGCTCGAGCATATGCTCAACCCAGTGGTTATTCTCGAGCACTCACTATCTTGCTACTTTATATATTGCGATTTTTGTGCTCGAGCATACCCTCCCCTCACAACCTACGATTGTTGACTTTTTAGAACTCCTATGCAATTAGGATTCTAACTCAACCATATACTTGACTCTCGCAAGGATTCTATCCCACATATAATTATGGTATTTGACCAACTCCTTAACTGTACAGGACTCCAACAGATAAGGACACCCAGCTAGTTGAGTCCCACTAGGAGAATGTCACTTACTACTATAAATACAGAACCTTGAGCCATTATTCAGGTACGTTTTTCATTATTCTCCAGTCTATAGCCTCACGCATATAATTCCCTTTCTGACTTAAGTATCGAAGGGGCGACGAGAACATACCTCGTTGCCTTTGTATCAAGTACCAGAAGACTACAATCGTGCTCAATCCAAATCATCAAGCTCGGGAAATTTGCAGGTACGATTTTTGGTAGCATCATTGGCGCTATCTGTGGGAAACGCTACCAAAAGCCATGGTTAACACACGATCAGGTCTTCCTCCAACAAGCTCATTCGCTCTCATCCCTCATCCTGCCAAAGATCAACCAGCTCTCCATGAAGAATCGTCAGGAGTGCCCGCACCTCTGCCAGCGGTCATCATAACCGAAGCCTTTGAAGAGCTCCGTCAGCAGGTGGCCACGCTCACGCAATTGTTAAGTCAAAGAAATTCACATCTGTTGCCAGCGCAGACTGAGCATGGCGATTTTATGGCTGATGCTTGAGCACGACCACCAAACCCCACAAATGGCGGAGTAGGAACCTCGGGTATTCACAATATGGCCTTGGGCTCGAGATCGGTCGCCATGGATTTCGGTGAAATTGCCCGGATCATTCAAGAAGTAATTACAGTTGGCCTGCAACGGAATGCTCGGGGGCCAATAGGTTTCACCCCTAACACTCCATTCACACCAGAGATATTGTCATATCCCTTGCCCGACATATTCAAATATCCTCGCATTAAAGAGTATGATGGGACGACTGACCCCATCAACCATCTCAATGTATACACTGATGTCATGAACTTGCAAGTTGCTCGGGATTAGGTTATGTGCAAAGCATTTCCACAAACGCTGACTAATGCAGCTAGGGATTGGTTCTCGACATTGGAGCCCAAATCCATAGCCTCATTCTCAGATTTGGCTGATAAGTTCTCAACCTTCTTTGCAAGTAGCAAGCGAATCAGGAAGACCGCGGCCTCTCTTATACAACTTCGTCAAGGACTAACTGAAACCCTACGAGGATTTATGACAAGGTTTAACAAGAAAAGGCTTCAAATACCCGACCTTCACATTACAGCAGCTGTCTCCGCCCTCACCTACGCCATAAGGTGTGAAGCTTTCAAGATGTCTTTATCAAAGACCCTGCCGTAGATAGTGACCGAGTTCCTCACCCGAGCTGAAAATACATTAATATGAAGGAAACACTAAATCCAAGGAGATCTGGTCCTTCCCATGAAAAGACCGAGAACAAGAGGCAACATGATCCTGTCCCCCGGCATGAGCTTCCCCGGGATAATGCAGGAATGAGGCGCCGTCAGCACCTCTCACTCGGTTGAACACCTCTAAGACAAACATCTTGATGAAGGTTAAGGATATGAAAGAGTTAAAGTGGCCTTCAAGGATGAAGTCGCTCCCTGACATAAGAGATAGGAGCAAGTATTGTGAATTTCACCAGGCATACTACAGAGGATTGTCATACTTTACAACGAGAAATTGAAGCCCTTATCAAAAGAGGATTTTTAAAGAATTACGTTGGTCATGATAAACGACCAAGGAATGATCGTGACAATCGGAAAGAGCCTGGGGCTAGAAGCAGTACTCAACCCACTGCCGGAACTATTAATATTATTGTTGGGGGATAGCATCCGACGGAAACACAAGTAGTGGGCGAAAGCAGTCAACATCCTCATACCCTAAGAGAATCCCGTGATGAAGTCAAAGACATCACTTTTGGTGCAAAAGATTTGGAAGGAATATCATATCTTCATGACGATGCCTTGGTCGTCTCTGCGGTTGTGGCTAACTTCGAAGTAAAGAGGATTCTGGTTGATAATGGGAGTGCAGCAAATATACTCTCGCATGAGGCTTTCGCCAAAATGGGGATCTCTCCCAAACAGCTCAAAGCAGTAAAAACTCCCCTACAGGGATTTGGTGGTGGCGTCATTATCCCTGAAGGCATCGTCGAGCTCCCGCTTACATTAAGAACTGGTAATATATAAGTGATGGAGATCATACCATTCCAAGTGGTTAATACCCCAATGGCCTACAACATCATTCTGGGAAGACCCCTACTGCACAAGATCCAAGCTATTGTGTCAACTTTCCACCTGGCCATGAAATTTCCCATAGGTCATGGCATCGGAGTAGTCAGAGGAGACCAAACAGCTGCCAGACAGTGCTATGTTACTAGCATCCGAGGAATGAGTGCTGACGTCATGCAACTTGTAGACCTCGAGCTCGAGCTCTAGCCAAGGGATAGATTGGCCCCCATTGAGAAGTTGGAAATGGTCGAGCCCGAGCACGGGAAAGCCGTTACTATTGGTTGGGATCTCAAGGCCAACCTCCAGGAGAAAGTCATCGATTTTCTGTCCCGCAACATTGATGTTTTTACTTGGAAGTTGGAGGATATGCCAGGGATAGACCCAGAAGTAGCCGTCCATAGACTTAATATCAGCCTAGGGGCCAAACCTGTTAAGCAAAAGAAGAGGCAGTTTGCGCCGAAAAGACGTGTGGTCATTTAAGAAGAGGTCGGCAAATTGGTGAGAACGGGGTTCATAAGAGAAGTCCAATACCCCGATTGGCTCGCTAATGTTGTTCTGGTGAAAAAGGTCAGTGGTAAATGGAGGGTCTGCATTGACTTCACAAATCTGAATAAGGCGTGCCCAAAGGATAGCTACCCGCTACCTAGGATTGATAATCTTGTGGATAGCACATCCGGATATAAGCTGTACAACTTCTTAGATGCATTCTTAGGGTATCATCAAATCCTCATGACCAAAGAAGACCAAGAGAAGACTTCATTCATGGCTGATTCAGCCATATATTGCTATAGGGTGATGTTATTTGGATTGAAAAATAAATTCTTCGCTGATTTGATAGGGAAGAACATCGAAGCCTATGTAGACGACATGGTTGTAAAGAGTAAGAAGGTGGAGGAACACATATCCGACCTAGAGGAGGTGTTCATCACTCTACGAAAATATAAGATGAAGCTCAACCCGGAGAAGTGTGTATTCGGTGTAGCTTCAGGAAAGTTTCTGGGTTTCATAATCACTCATTAGGGGATTGAGGCCAACCTCGACAAGATTTAGGCTCTGGTAGCAATGGGATCACTAAGGACCAAGAAAGAGGTTCAAAAGTTGACAGGCAGGGTAGCTGCCTTAAACAGGTTCATGTCCTGAGCAGCAGATAGGTGCTTCCCCTTCTTCAAAGCCCTCAGGGATAATCATTGCTTTGAATGGAATGGGGAGTGCGAGAAGGCTTTTCAGGAGCTGAAGCAGACATTGGAATCTTCTCCTATTCTCACCAAACCCGAGCCCGGGGATACTCTACATTTATACTTAGCCGTATCTCAGAATGCAGTGAGTGGTGTCTTGGTGAAAGAGGTTAACAGGGCCCAGCAACCCATTTATTACGTAAGTAAAGTCCTAATTGATGTAGAAACAAGATACACTTTGGCAGAACAGCTTGCCCTTGCACTGATTGTGGCAGCACGAAAACTTCGACAATATTTTTAGTCACATCCTATTGTAGTGCTCACCAATCAGCCTCTAAAACACATTCTTTAGAAACCAGACGTCTCTAGAAGATTACTGAGGTGGGCAATAGAACTCGAAGAATTTGACATAGAGTTCAAGCTCCGTCCATCTATCAAAGCTCAGGCCTTAGCTGACTTCATTACAGAACTCACCCCAAGGCCTCGGGGGCCAGCAGATCGTAGCTCGAGCTCGACCACAGGTGTGTGGGAAATTTTCGTAGATGGAGCATCAAACTCCTCGGGCTCGGGCTCGGGCGTCATAATCATAAGCCTGGACATGCTCATAAACATTCAGTGCGCACTCAGGTTCGAATTTGAGGCGACCAATAATGAGGCAGAATATGAGGCCGTCATCATAGCCGTGGAACTCGCCATAAATCTCGAGCTTGAAAATATCAAAATTTACAGTGATTCCCAATTGGTGGTTGGACAAATCGAAGGCACGTTCAATAGGAAGGACGAGAAGATGAGCTTATACTGCTTGAAAGTATATGATCTCCTGAGAAAGTTCAAGAGTTGTGAAATTGTGAAAATTTCTCGGGCTGAGAATTGTAAGGCCGATGCCTTGTCAAAATTGGTGTTCATGGGAATAGATGGGCTTGACAGGACAGTTCACGTTAGAATTGTAACCGAGCCAAGCATCAACCAAACCATAGGCATCATGGATATTGATAATGAGCCATCGTGGATGGATCCAATAGTGGACTTCATAAACATGGCAGTCTTCCAGAAGATCCTCGAGCAGCGAGAAGCATCCGATCCAAAGCTCCGAGGTATTGCATTATTGAAGGAGTTTTATTTCGCAGGAGCCTCACACTTCCATACCTCAGATGCCTTAGGCCTTCTGAATCATTCCAGGCCCTAGAAGAAATTCATGAAGGAGTATGTGGGAACCATCAAGGAGCTCGAGCATTAGCCTTCAAGCTCATAAGGTATGGATATTATTGGCCAACCATGAAGAAAGACGCCCAGGAATATGTCAAGAAGTGTGACAAGCGCCAAAGATTTGGCAATGTCATCCACCCTCCCGCAAAGGACCTCACAAGCATTAGTTGCACAGCCCCATTTGAGCAGTGGGGAATTGACATCCTTGGTCCCTTTCAAATAACTATGGGGCAATTGAAGTTTGTGACTATAGTTGTAGAGTATTTCACTAAGTGGGTGGAGATCGAGCCTTTAGCAACAATTTCAGAGCCGAAGTTAAGAAGTGTCATTTGGAGATCCATCATATGCAGGTTCGGGATACCGAAAGTCCTCATAACTGATAATGGTAAGCAGTTTAACAATGCACAATTTAAAAACTTCTGTTCCGACCTAGGGGTTGATCACCGTTTGACGTCAGTTTCCCATCCTCAAAGTAATGGTCTCGCAGAAGTGACCAATCGGATTATATTGCAAGACCTCCGTACAAGGATCGGGGATGCAAGAGGTTCCTGGTCTGACGAGTTACCTTCCGTACTTTGGACGTATAGAACGTCCCATAGAACTGCTACGGGAGAAACCCTCTTCATGTTGGCTTTTGGTATTAAGGCCACCATCCCTGTTAAAGTCAGGCTGCCCAGCCAAAGGAGGCTTGAACCCGAAGATGCAGGGTGCATCACTGAACACCTCGACCTCTTGGAAGAAGTTTGTGGTTAGTCAGCTATAAGAATGGCCTCTTACCAAGAAAAAACAACAAAGTACTTTAATAAAAAAGTGAGGACGTGGAGATTCAGAGCCGGAGACCTTGTGTTAAGAAGGGTCGAAGCAGCAGGTCATGCCTCAGGCAAGCTAGGACCAGTTTGGGAAGGGCCCTTCGAAGTCATACGACAATCCCAAGGAGGCGTATACAGTTTAAGGGATACATCAGGAACACTACTTCCAAGACCATGGAGCGCCGAGAATTTAAAGATATATTACAAGTAACTTGGTCTTCCAGTTATCAGTAGTCAGGCCTGGGGTCAAAGTTCACGTTTTCAATTCTCAGGCCTGCGTGCCATGTCTATTTTTAAAGTATAATAAAAATTAAGCTATTCATCAAAATATGATCTAGTTACTAAAGCCTTGCCCCACGTAAGCAAACAACAAGCCTTGCCCCGCGTAAGCAACTCAAGCATTGCCCCGCGCAAGCAATCAAAAAGTTTTGCCCCGCGCAAGCAACTCAAACCTTGCCTCACGCAAGCAATCAAAAAACCTTGCCCCACGCAAGCAATTAAAAAGCCTTGCCCCGCTCAAACAACTCAAATCTTGCCCCGTGCAAGCAATCAAAAAGTCTTGCCCCACGTAAACAACTCAAGCCTTGCTCCAAGCAAGCAATCAAAAAAGCTAAAGCCACGAACACACTTACAAATAACATCCCCGAGCACACAGTACCCAATCAACGACGTGATAGATCTTATAAAAAGGCCATTACTATCTCGGGAATCACACAATAGGTCGATACAATTACATTGCCATTAAGTCCTCGAGATAAACATGCATAATATGCTCGAGCTCAATGCATAATGTCAAAAAATGATTTTACAAATTGAGTCCTCGAGATCAACTTGTATACATGCTCGAGCTCAACTCTCAAAAAATGATTTTGCAAATTGAGTCCTCGAGATAACTTGTATACATGCTCGAGCTAAACACAATTTCAAAAATTATTTTATAAAATTCAGTCCTCGAGAGAGTATTATTTGTCGAGCATGACAAAAATAAATCTTTGTTGTCGGTGAATAAGTACGTCAAGGCCAAAACATCTTAGGCATCGAGATATTAATACATCTTAGACGTCGAGCTGTTTAATACATCTTAGGCATCGATATATTAATACATCTTAGGCATCGATATATTAATACATCTTAGGCGTCGAGCTGTTTAATTCATCTTAGGCGTCGAGCTGATTAATACATCTTAGGCGTCAAGCTGTTTAATACATCTTAGGCGTCAAGTTATTTAATTTGTCTAGGCGTCGAGATATTAATACATCTTAGGCGTCAAGCTGTTTAATACATCTTAGGCGTCGAGTTATTTAATTTGTCTAGGCGTTGAGATATTAATACATCTTAGGCGTCGAGCTGTTTAATACATCTTAGGAGTCGAGTTATGTAATTAGTCTAGGCTTCGAGCTATGGATTCCCTTAAAGTCGGGCTAGGTCACATCACTTAGTATAGTTCTCAAATGAACTTAAAACTCGAGCAAACATAATCGAAGTAATATAGCAAGAAACAGATGTCAAGCTCGGGAAGAACACATTGATTCAAAAACTGATTAATCAAGTACAAGAGCCAAGAGTATCCAAAAACAGAAGAAAAACATAAACTAATCTAGGTCCTCGGCTCTTTCTCCCGAGGCTGTGCTTCATTGCTCTTCTGCCACGTCCTCGCCGTCAATATCGACCTCCTGGTCCTTGACGATTTCTCGGACTCTGAAAGCTCAAGATCTTCAGCAAACTCAGGGATGCTCTTTAAATCCTCGGGCTTTGCGTCGGGCTTCGACCTCAAAAATGCCCGAGCCTCTTTTAAGGCGTGGAAGTACGAGCTCATGGCGTACTCTCCCTTCAGTCTGCTGAACTCCTCGGATGTTTTGAAATCTTCGACCGCAATGCCTCGAGCTTCAGTCAGGCGAGTTTCAAAATCCTTCTTCAAATGCTCGATCTTGAGCTTTAAATCCTCGGCCTCGTCCTTGGCCACTCCAGTCTCTTCCCGAGCTCTCTGAAGATCGTTCTTCGCATCATCGAGCTCCCTCTGGAGAAGGAAGCGCTCAACCTCCATGTCAGCTATCCTCTTCTCATGTGCTCGAGAAGTATCCTCGAGCTCAGCAGTTTTCTGTGCCTCGTCTTTCCCCTTCAGAAAGAGGCATCGGGCAATACTCAGAGTCTGTATCATATAAACCCAAGCTTAAACAATCACATCATATAAACCCATAAATTACACCAAGTTGAGTGAGCTTACCTTCAGCGTAAGGGATTCAAGAGCTTTCATGCCCTCGTCAAAGTCGAGGTCCTTTCGATATTTGTCCACGATGCTCGACACCAGAGGACACCAATCAGGATCTTTATTTTGAAATGAAGGCACATGAGGGACCTCATCCTCGAGGTCAACAACCTCGGGGGTACTCCTTGATCGAGGAGGGGCAGTTGGAGTTTAATGAGCCTGTATGATCAGGGATTGTCCCCGGGTAGAAGGTTCGCCTGGCCCACTCCTACTATTCTCGGGGCCTGAATCACGAGCCCTCCTCTTCCCTCTCTTTGACCTAGAGCTCAAGCCTAAGGGGCCTTCGACTTTTTGTTCACGGCCTGTTTAAGGGCTGAAGGATCGAAAGTCATCTCTACAAAAATAAGTCATTAACATGAGCACAATTATACATTCAAAGACAGATCAATGAGGAAGAAGGCAAAAAGATGATCCCTACCCTCAGTGCCTTTCACATCCATAAGATCAAGAATGTCATCCCCGAGGATGTCATCTATATTATAAACAAGAGGCTCAAGGTTCTCTAACATCATCCTATGCCTTTCTAAAGACTCAAAATAGGCCTGGCCTTCACAAAACCTGGTAGTGTCGGGCAAAACCCACCTAGGACTAAAAGGAAGGTCACTATCCTGAGGTACGACATAAAACCACTTTTCTTTCCATCATTTCAATGAACTGGGCATCCTCAGTAATCTAAACCCTCCTCGAGATGAGAGGTAGGCGAAACAAGTATATTGAGGTAGCTGTTTTTAGTCGAAGACCATTCTACAAAGATCGATGTATGGGTTAATTCCTAGATATCTACAGGCCATAAAAAATAGATGAGCATCCTCCATTCATTTGGCACGAGCTGTCCAGGGCTCATGTTGTGCTCGACCAATAAAGCCACAAAAAAGGGGTGCAGGGGCCATCTAAATCCACCCTTTAGTGAGTCCCTAAAAATTACAAACTCTCCATCCCGAGCAAAGGCCATCCTATCCTCTCCTACTGGCGTCCTAATATCACACTTCGACATGAGCCCGTGCTCCCTAGCCGTCGATATTGCTAGATGCTCTTTAAACTTACAAGGAACCTCGGGGTACCTAAATGGGGTCGGGATACTTTATGCCCGAGGTTGGGCATTAATAGGCACGGCCATAGGTATGATCGAGCATCCTATGTCCTCGGGAGTACTCCTCGAGGAGGAGGATGAAGACTCGCTACTACAAAAGTGCCTAAAGAATAACTTGAGAACTCGAGGTCTTACCTTAAAGTCGACACCTGAAAACTCAACCTGATCCCGATGATTAGCAAAAGAAGTTTACTGAGAGTAAAAAGTGAAAAATGAAATGTGGAGAGGGTATTTATAGGTAACAGGAGCGGGTAGTCCAAAAGTCACTACCTCGACCGTCAGATCTAGCCACGTGTCCTACATCCATTCCATACCATTTTTACCGTCTTTCTTGTTTAGGGCTTACCTCAGTACACGTCAGCCCTTCTGAACACCTGTCTTCAAAAACTTCCTCGAGCTAAAACACCCGAGCTTTTTGTTTCAAGCCTCTTTGCATCATATCCTCGAGCGAAGGTTTCGAGTATATGTGCACGGGGGCCAATGATACTGACATTCTGGGATAACCTGACCACCATATTATCCCGAGGATTACGCTACCCTTTTATGATATACATAAATACTCGATCATTCTATCCCGACCACAAATCTTGGATAAACTTGCAATTCCACATATGGAGTGCTCGAGCATATGCTCAACCCGGGGGTTATTCTCAAGCACTCACTGTCTTGCTGCTTTATATATTGCGATTCTTGTGCTCGAGCATAAGTAGTCCTCGAGCATACCCTCCCCTCATAACCTACGATTGTTGACTTTTAGAACTCCTATGCAATTAGGACTCTAACTCAACCATATACTTGACTCCCGCAAGAATTCT